GAGCCTAGCTTGCCATCCAATATCAGGGCATACGGGTCAACAGGGTCACGGGAGAGGCTCGGTAGGCTATCTGCACTGGGAACTTTGAACAAAGGTTTCCGTGGTTTGGGGGCCAAGAGGCGACTCAGGTTAAGTTCGTCTTCCACATGGATGAATGGTGTGTAAACTATGTTTTCATAAAAGCATTCAAGTATCTCTTCAGCCACTCCCTCTCCTTGTGTGTTGCGGACATAGTCTGATTTTTGCATCTTTCTCTTGTTATTTTTATTGAAGAAGTCTGTGTGCAAAATCAATAGGGAAAATGAAATGAAATAAGCTTGGTCTGATAATTTATTAGCGGAAAACATTCTCCAAACCACAAGATGCCGAAAAATATCGTACCTGTTGAGGCATATATGCCTGGATTGCATTCATGATAACGGTCCGCGAAGCTTTGGAGCACCCTGTCAATTTGCTGTGTCTCTTTCGGCAGCTCTACTTCCATAAGAAGCTTACGTATGGCCATATCAATAGGATCACCGAAAAAAGAAAATCCACGCATGTACTTTCTTAAAGCTGTAGAATAAAACTCCTCTGAAGATTGAGACAAGATAGTAGCAATTACACCGCGACGAACTGAGCTTTCCAATCGCGACAGGTAAGTGGCTGGAGAATCATCTTGTTCTCTAGCTGGCCACGAAACTAAATCCCGGGCGATGGAGAAGGAATTGGACTTGGACGCAACTGACGCGGGTGTGGCAGGTGCGCCAAAACATGGGGAGGCATCGCCTGTCCCGTTTTGGTCGGGATTGGATTTAAACCGACCTGGGAGACCGAAAAGATCACCGAAACTTTTCCTGGCAGCAGTGTATGTCGAAGTCCGGCTGGATGGAGCTAAATCCGGGGACAACTGATGCGGAACATCCTGAATATCAGCAAGGGAGCTCATAGTAGACGACCTTTCCCTTCGTGATACGCGAGTCGGTGGCTTCGGCGAACTTGATGACGTCGCGGAGCGTGCTGACGACCTCGAGTCTTTTCGAATTAAAGGCATTCCCGGAGAGATTGTACCTGGAGTTCCAAAATCTAGTGGTGAAGGCGATGGCGACGGAAGTGGTGGAAGCGATGGAGCAATGTCACGATTCTGATCTGTAGAAATAAGACTTTTGTTGTTCCCAGTCTGAGTTCTCTTGGGCTCTGATGGCTGCGACACTTGGCTCGAAGGGGTGACTTTTACAGGCAACGGGAAAAGTGGGCTTCGGCTGCGTTTCAGCCGCGGAAGGCGAAAAAGAGAGCTGGTGCCAGCCACGGTGCCGTTTTTCAAATAGACTCCATGTTCCGCAGAGCTGCCGTCTGATCTAGAAGATTCCGAGAATCGCGTGCCAGGCAACGAAATGCCGTCGCCCTGGGCGCGTAAGGCCCCACTGCTCCCTACGGAAGTAGTTGATAGTCTACCCTGGTATTCAAAGCTGATATGAGAGGCTCTGAGACTCGAAGGGGCGGTTTGTGGGCTACCCATCCCAGCAATTTGTCGAAATGATGAACTTCCGTTCGAAGAGTTGGAGTTTTTAGGTGTATGGTTATGGTGTGGGGGGGAGGCTGTCGCATGTCCCAAAACTGGTTTTTGCGTTCCAAGTTTGAATCTGTTCTTCCGCTTAGGGGTGGGTTTAGGGTCTGTGATGGTAGGTGATGTAGTAATTATTGTAGGGGCTTTAAATATAGGGAAACACCAAACAGTCAGTAGTCAGATACACTGGGGAGAAGAGCTAGGGCCTAGACCATATGGGGTTTCTATATTGAGAACGAAGGGAGGTTATACTTACGAGGGAGTAGAGAAGGAACGGGAGGTGTCTCCGCTTCGTTGTACGACGTTGATAACTGGGGATCCGACGCGTGCCTGAACCTCATCAGACTGAATCTGTTGAATATAGTGGTGCCCTGTTGTTTGGCATTAGGAACTGATTTTCCTCCGGATCCCGCAGGCCCATTGTCGGACAGGGATCTCTCAGATCTCTCAGCAGCCCGGGATTCTCCGGCCAGCGGTGAATTGGCAGTAGATTCTGAAAGACGGGGAGCGAGCTGGTCCATGGCGGAGTTGGAGCGAGGAATATGTTCGCTATGGCGCGCAGGGGCAGGCTCCGGATTGAGGGAGTGGTGTGGTTGCGAATTTCGGTCATCAGCACCAGGACGACACCCCTTCCATGGCATGATGGAGGTGGATTTGCGCATAGTCAATGGGTCATGGCATGCGGGCTAGGTAGCAGACAGACCCTTAGACCATGCGTGCAGTTCTCTCCAATGGGATCGACATAGAATCTCTGGCAGTCGCAAGCTGGCCGATTCGTTGGTGAAGACAACCGGGACGTGTGTACTGACTTTGTGTACTGAACATGGGGTCAACGGGGGGAAGAGGGGGTGACAATCAAACGAGTGACGTTGGAATAGGATCCTGACAACGGGGGAGGCGCATCCAACTCCAGCAGCAACCACTCAGCGAGGTTCCTTCGGCGAGATTCTTCAGCGAGGAGTAGTTGTCGATGTGTATACCTAGGTACTGTACTGTGCTGTGCTGTGCTGTGCTGTGCTGTGCTGTGCTGTGCTGTGCTGTGCTGTGGTCGAGGTTGGAGGTTGGATAAGAGAGATACGTAGTTATGGTGTGTAGTGGTTGCTGAGCTCAACCTCCTTCTCCAGGCCGGGGGAATAACCATGCTGCTAGTCAGCTAGTGTAACTAGTTCAGTGGAGTTTTAGTTGACCGATTGAGCCCAGCTCAGCCCAGAGAGATAACGTAATCGGCCCAAAGGGGAGAAGAAGAAGATGAAGAAGAAGAAGACAAGCCCAAGCCCAAGCCCAAGCCCAAGCCCTCCCCGTTGGGCTGGGTCCCCACAACCAACTGGAGCAAAGTCGCCTGGGCTTGCAAACGGGGGTGTTTTCCATATAGTTAACTATACAAAACTTCTTCCACCAGATAAACTCGTTATCTAATTAGTTAACTACGGAGTACAACTCCAAGTGGTTATAACTTATCCGGCCCCCAGCCTGCTCCCCAGACCACTCCTTCTTCGCCTAAGTCGAGAGTCATCGGAAACCAACGTCAGGCCAGCCAAGCCATTACAAAGAGGTTCGCTTTATTCCTCCTCAGTTTGATCCTGGATGCAGCAGCCTGCTTATCCACTAAAATTCTCTTTCCACTAATTAGTCACTCCTTACTGTGGGTGGTTCTTGTAGCACAGAGACTACATAGAACAGATAACAATTCAGAGTAGAACATGTTTCAAGCCCCCTTCTTTGCAAAGAAAAGAAAGCCTGACGGAGAATTACAGCTCAAAGAACAACCAAGCAAGCATTCTTAAGTAAACTCTTTTATTGGCCGGGTTCGTATTAGTAAGCTATACAATCGTTTCGTTTGACTTTGGAACAAGCATCCTATCAGAGTCCATGATGACTGTTGGACCGTTATTCAACTGGTTAAGGTAAATTAAAAAGGGGAAGCATGAAACCATATTTTGGGAGTCTGCAAGGCTTTGCACAATGACAATCACAAGTGATTTGTTACAAATCAATTCAATTATGAAACCTCTTCACGCACATGTCTCAAAGCCCAGTTGTGGAAAAAAAAAACCCCCCCAAAAAAAAGGAAAAAAAAAAGAAGAAAAAAAGGAATTGAATCAAAAAAGGGGAAATGCATAAGCCTTTCACACTCTTCAGGGTAAATAGTTGTTTAGTTATCTATGTTTTTAACTCCAACACCTGGTACCGACACAGCCCTTTGATGGTCTCTCTGCACTGTACATCGTGAGACCTCGCGATAGGAGAGGCTATGGAATGAAGTTGCAAAACCTAGGCAGGGATAGGATGGATTTTTCGCCGGCTTCATAGGGACAAGCTGCTCGGGCTAATTCATCAGCGCATATCGATGCAGGGGATATGCCACACTCTTCCTCGGTTAAAGACTTGGATTTTTGCAGGAACTTAACTGGGTTCGCGAACTCTCCCATGAGCAAGCTCAGCCTCGTGAGAAGCGTTATCAGACCATAAACAAATTACAATGGTACCCTGTTGATTCTTTTGGGCCGCAGATTCCATCTTTGAAGGCAGTGAGTGAACCTTCAGAATAGCATTAAGCCTTTCTTCCAGGACACGAACTTACATACCTATGGATCCGGCCGTCAGTTGTCTCAGGAGGGAATCTCATTGGACGAATTGGATACGGTTCCAACAACAACCTCGAGTCGATTCTAGTGTTTTGATTCCTGCGTTCTACGCAGAATAACAAGTATGTATTTGCGTAGCTGATTTGGGGCTGCTTGCCGGGGGAGGGGGGAGGGGGGGGGGTTATAATTATCTCCACCGGTCCCCGGTCGTAGATGAAGGATGAGGTTCAAGCCAGGTTCATTTCTGGTCAACTTGCGATTTCTCATCCCTCCACGAAAAGAGCAAATTCTCAATTGCAAATAAATAATGACATGATTTTAAAACGCTTGACTTCTCCACATGAAGGAATGAATCCATCTCCACCGCCTGGGCAGATAAAAATTCAGTCCGCGTTAGACTAAAATCATATTTAGCTCAGCTGATGTGCCAATATTTAGTTTAACTAAATGTTCCCCTGTGAGCTTCGTCAAGATATCAATTCCACGCCACATAACATGCAACACACGACACACGAAGACACAAGGTGTGAACGGGGATCAGGTATTCTCCGAAAATAAATATCATTTTGACACAACAACCTTGTCGCTTGGGATGATGCGGTATGGTCCCTAAGTAGATCTGCATCATGCTCAGGATTTGTTGACAGTTGCTCATTGCGGCGCTGGTCACTGCATATTTCCTGGAAGAGAAGGCTATCTCAGCCAGATGCAAGCAAATTGTGCGGGCTTCCTCCCGAGTTCAAGCTCCTTGGACTCGTCATACTACTTCAAGCATCAAGCCCCTCAGCCGTGCAAGTTAACCGATCCACGTTCTGCCAAACCTCCAGTACCAGACCACCACCTCTGTCAGTGGTATGTTGTGATCAATAATGAGCAATCCCACGAGAGCGTTAACGACTTCTGGAAATCTCGCCGAGGTAACCCTATCGAATAAATACACGTCCATATTCCTCGTCGTAGTGTATGATACTATGTTTGCTAATCCCAACCAGGCCAATCCCCCTGACTTTTCAGACATTTGGAAAGTCATCCTTCAACCCGGCGCAGCAGAGGATGAGCAGTTTGTAAGAAAATACTACAAAGGGCGCGGATCCCTCTCCATTCAAAATCTGCTCACGCAGCCTCGTCCGTGGATGTCGTGGAGCTACAGAGCTGCCTATCGAAAGCTTTTTGCGCTCTTAGAGCAGGCTTCATTGGACTTCAAGTTACGCTGCCGGGTCATGTTTGAGGAGTTGTCGGTGGATAATGATCGATATCAGCCGCGACATCTGGCTTACAATGAAGGCCATGCTCCTTTGTCTGTCATATTTGACGCCCTGAAGACGATTCCAGCAACGGTGCCGGACGCAGATCGTCCGGCGGAAAAGGTCAAGGGTACTGCGCATGTTAAAAAGTTTGCTCGGATACTACATGTAACGGATATTTCGCCGCTGGTGCTCAATTGTATCTTTGGGACATCTTCAAGGTCTGAGATGTATCAAAGTCCCCTTCCTAGTAACCCGCCATACTGATGTATTATTTGTAGTCTAGATATGAGTCACATCGCGGCATTTGTCGATAGAAATCTGAACAGTTTGAATTGGGCGAAAGTGAATCTGCTCCAGCTGCGAAACACGGTACGAACGTTTCAAAGAATCATGAAATACCCTTTTGCGAGAGAATATCTCCTTTTTAGCCATATCCTAATATTTGTAGAGCTGGTCTTCATACATATACGAATACCATTTTTCTTTCTATTACGTCACCTTGGACTTTTTCGAACTGGGTACAGTGAAACCTGATCCCCGCCAGATTCGAAGGTCGTGTCCATTCGGGAAGCGGAAGAGTACAAAGCATCGTTATATACACGAAGAAACTGTTTCGTTCTTATTATGTGGTCATTTCGACGAGGTATTCACTTGTTACCAGTTAGGTGACACTTATTTTAAACCTCGTTATGCGAAAGAAACGGGCGCTCGGTTCTTTCGATCTTATGATCCCGGTCAATCCCCTGGCCAACTTCTACTGTATTGGATTGTTGTGGCTTTGTTTCATGCAAGATCAAGATGGGAAAATGCCATCGATGCGCTAGACGCGGAGATGAAATCGCCGGTACTTTCATCCCCAAGATTGGAAATGTCTTATGTCTTGACTAACTTTTTCCAATCTTTAGTCTGATGTCGTATTCATGGAGGACAGAAGTGGTTGGTAGTGCCCATTTGTTCAGACAAAGAATACACAGTACATAGGCAACTTTAACACTAATATTTGGTAGATCTGATGGCCGACGACCCGCAGTTCTCCTTGTCCAAAACATACTTCTGGGCTCTTCAAACATATAAACTATTTGAGATACGGATTAACTCTAACTTCTGCTCTCAATGAATTCGAAATTGACCTACAAACCAGCGCACCCTAGAGCAAACAATCGCAACCTGGGAAACTTTCAAAATCGAATCCCTGCCCAAAATTCAGGATGGAAGGATCAGTCCGGAAGATTGGGATGCTGGAGTCAGTAACATCGAACAGGGAATCGAACTCCTTAAACCCAAAATAGCTCGCATCCGACGCGGTATACAGGATGTAAGGGATCTTCGAGAGGGGGTAGGTTCCAACAAATTTATCCAATAATGGCAGAACTTTGGGAATGATAACTAATTTGTTCAGCTCCAATCGACCGCTGCTGTATTTGATAGCCGAACTGCCGTTCGCCAGGGGGAAAACATTCGCCTGTTAACATACATCACATTGCTTTTCCTCCCCCTTTCCTTTGGCACGGTAGGCTGTGCTCCATCGATACATTCCATTCTGACAGAATCCTAACTCTCGTTTAGGGCATTTTTAGTATGCAATTCATCGAGTCCAACTCGAGCACGGTCAACGCCTTCGCCATCACCTTACCTATCATCACAATCGTCAGTGCTCTCGTAATTTTCAACCTCAACGCACTCACTGCCTCATTCGACTCTGCAGTCCGCAAAGCCACATTCGGTCTTCGAGGAAGGATGAAACTCCATCACAGAAAAGATTGGAAACAGAGAGCCCTCGCCCTGTATCAAGATGATATAAGTGCAGAGCCACCGGTACGAAAAGCTTCCAAACAGAGTAGCCATTGGGTATACATACTTTTCTTGATTGAGACTGCCACAATTCTTTTACCTGTTTCCGAACTTGATGCCGCACTGCGTTTTTACGGGATTTTTGATTCCAAAAGCGAGTGCGACCAAGACGATGGCGATGATGATATCACAGACAAAGAAGAAGCTCGCTTACATCTCCCTGGAAATAATAGACGAAAGGAAGTTCTAAGGAGGGTGAAAAGAGCCGCACAGCAAGCGGAGGAGCAGGAACAGAGACGCAGAGAGGAAGAGAAAGGGGCGGTAATCGTATTTTTCGGACGTTCCTATCGTAACAGTCTTCATGTATCCCGGGCTCTAATGGGTATCATTTTCAACTCCTTGAGGCTTCTTTTCATACCGATCTGGATCGTCCTGCTCTCCACAGAGTACATTTTGGTATTAGCCGCCTTCACACTTTTAAGCAGATCCCATCCTCACCCCACCCAACCCAGTCCTAACCCACCAGCTCATGCTGAAAAATCACCACGTTCCCATTCCTCTTTCGCGCACGCATGGCGTTTGCTCGGGCTCAATACCCTTACTGTCCCAAATCGACCCCGTCTTTTCTGTCCCGACTCCTCAAGTTCCTCCGAAATCTCCACCCCAGATAACAACCTCCCACCAATCCACAATAAAGGGAAGTCACCAACAGCAACCAAAGACGTAGCCCTCCAACGACCACAGATAGCAGTAGCTTCCCCGCCTACATCTTCTAAATCACACGGACTGCGTCACTCTACAAGACTCACAGTTCAATTGGGACCCGAGAACGATCCCAAAAGAGCATCCTCAATAATATCTCGAGAAGGAAATATGTCACCCCCTTCATCACCCTCATTTCCCGCAGCACCACTAACCGCAAATGTTGAGGTAAGGGTATTTGACCCCGAGCGGTCGCGGAGGACGGCGCGGGCAAGGATAGCAAGAGCGGCGAATGTTACGAGCCAGTTTGTCCCGCAAGATTTGGAGGGGGGAGATATATATAAGTAGTAATTACCGCCTAAGATTGATGGAATTGATATCGAATTTAGAGTTGATGGACGCACACATTATAATGAGTTATGACATGGTTTTTCTGTGCAGATTTTTAATTTCGTGTACGTACATTTTGTAGAGATATCCGATTCAAGATAATGTTAAGGGGAAGAATATCGTATGTATGTGTGCATACATATTATATTATTTATGACAATTGGTACAAGTTAGAAGGCCAGTGGAGAGATGAAATGAAATACGATTAAGAAACTGATCTAAAAAGGCAGAAAACAAGGCTTAAGAATAAGCTGCCCAATCTGGATATGCGACACAGCATCAACTGTCATCGGCGAGGATGTGTTCAGACCAAAAATGCCATTAAAAAGTAAATGAAATTGGGTAGGTGGTGCGTGAAATTCAACATACGCATATACCAAAGAGAAAAATGGTCAAATATTGTAGCAAATAAGGGTATTTAGAAAAACCATACAAAGAAAATATGCCAGAAAATGCCAAAGGGGAATGCAAAAATAACTCAGGTTGTTTCCCAAAATTTTTACCTCTTACGCCTCCTGCGAAAACCCCACTCGTCATTGTCATAACCTTCCCCTTCATTTTGATCATCATGATTCCTGTAATCATACGGTATCCAAGAGTCGTCATTCTCATCAAGTTCATTTTCGCTAGGAATATCATCTTCGTCGGCCTTGGGACGCTGGGATTCATCTTCCCAATCTAAGGGCCCGAACCCATCATGCCCGGATAAAAATCTGCCCAATACCATCACGGCATTGAACATCTCTTGACCCGTGGGGACGATATTTTCTCTAGGCAAGAGGAATCCATAGCTGCCTCTATCGCGAAGTTTAATTTGGTAGGAATATTTGACATTCAAGTCATGATAAAACCAGTCCAGAGCACTGCCTCCCGTCCTTTCAATGCGGGGAAATGGATCATCTGACTTGACTTTTGCCTGGGATGCCATGAGCCCTTCGCAGGCGGAGCTCACTTCGTAAGTCTCCCTGTTCGTCAATCGAATAGCCTTGGCAATCCCTATGGCCAGCTCTTCCAGGTTTTCCAAGTTGGGAGGATCGGGTTGGCAAGAGTACGAATATGGATAGCGGATTTGTTGAGAATAGGAATGGAGGTCGATGAAGGCGACGAATTCAGTATTGTTCTGTGCCGTTTGGTTCTTCGCCCACTGTGAGAATTGCTTCGCTTCGATTCCAGCAAATGGATCCTCTCCCGGATAGCTTTCTGAGCAAGGGTTATCCGCCGTGATATTGCCATCCCATTTGAACCCCCATGTACGATCCAAGTCCACACCGGGACAGAAGGGCAGGCTCGTGTCTTGCCTGTTCTTCCGCCAAATGCGATCAACTTCCCATGTGTAGATATAGCCGTCCGGGTTGAGGGTTGGAATGAAAATAAAGTCGAATTGTTGTAGAAGTTCAGCAACGTGCTTGGATTTAGCATAGTTGGTGATTAAAGAGTACGCAACATAATTCACCGTCGAAACACTGATCCATTCTCGCGCATGGGATCCTCCTGAAACAACAACGGTTTTGCGAGGTTTGGGGTTATTAGCTGGCCACACTCCGATCTGCAGAGCTGGGATATCACGACCCTCAAATGTAGACCCGATATTAATCATTTGCACGTGCGATGAAAACATCGAGGTTAGTAAGCGCATCCAAGGAACAATCACCGAAAACGGCTGATAATCTTGGAAGAATATATTCGTTTTGTCGGAAGAGTGCTTGGTAGATGGCGAGAAACCTTGCACGTCATATGAGGAACGTTGAGACGAGGAAGGATATGATTCGTATATGGTTTGAGGTAGGTCATGAATTAAAGGGATATGGGATGTTTGTAGTGATTTTGGGAGCAAGCCAAGAAGTGACGGGACCTGCAGGAGACGTTTTAATTAAGCAAAAGTGTTCGATATAACCATCACTTTTGCAAAAAGATAATGCATGCCCAACTCAGATACTTACCACATCCTTGGACAGTCTGATATCGACCCACTCATCCGTAGAGGCCCAAACATCTAGGAATAGAATATTGGAAGCCTCAGCAAGTGCTTTGACTTCCTCTGCATTCCGTATTGTAAATCGCAGCACGACATCATCGCCGTATCGTGCCCTCAAAGAAGCAGGGGCGGAGAAAAGAGGAAATTTGCCCTTATGGCCAGGTCTGTTTTTGCATAGTTGCGGCGGAACACGCCATAATCTCTCGATGACAGTGTTGCGGAGCCTGGTCCATAGACCCAGAGGAGCCTGTGGCTGAGTTTGCGGGAAAAGAGATATGCCCTCCGCCGGATGAGCAGGATAGCTGTTGCTTAAGAACGAGGGGATAGCGGTGATAGGTACTGCACAAGCTAGGATAGCCAGCACCGCAAGATGGGAGAATAGACGCATTGGTATTGCCTGTTGACCTAGGCGGATGGAATTGCTTTGGCTACACACCCCATGAGAAGGAAGAGGATGACGAGGATGCAGATGATAGTAAGGGATGTGGCGGGGAATAAATAGCGGTCGAGGGTTGGGTTAATCCGTAGTTTGCTTGCGGGATGCTTTGCCAACAACGAATTTGCCGGATTGCGCTGTAACTGCCAAGGCCGAACGACGGAGGGCCACCAGCAGGCATCACAATTAAATACTACTTCAAGATCATGAATATCTTAAGTGAAGGGATTTTATTTTCCAACGGTGATCCTCAAATTGAATATAGATGGAGAAGAAAAAGAGTATCAAACAGAAGACAGGTTTAATCACCATCGTCTCTTCTAGAGTAGATTCAGAAACAGTAAACATTAAACAACAGACTCTTCTACCAAGGGAGGAGAAATTGGTTTCATCATTTTGCCGTCCAAGTTTACTAGATTCAAAAAGACCATTGTGGCGTCCAGCTGCGATTGAGCGTACTGGGAATAAATCTTCTAGCTCCAGGCAAGGAATGATGCAAGGTTACCAAGCCAGCCCCTGGCGGCTTCAAACAACAACCAACAACTTTTGTTGCGAATAAAGATTGCCAGTAGCCGCCTCTGTCATGTGACTGAACATTTCCTAACTTTCCTTCTCTTCATCGTTCGATAAGCCCAATCACCTCAGAATTGGATCTCTGATACTATGAACGAGACACTGTGGAAAATCATGTTCGCATCATAGTCAACTGAATCATGGAAAATGAGGTTCTCAGGGAGGTACTTGGGCTGCGAGGTTCCATCATCTTTGAAGGCTATACAAATCTGGGGCATCCGCAGGAGAATTCGCTGAGTGAAGAGGTGCCTCACAAACTCACACAGACTGAGATGGCCACAGGACTGACCAAAGAGATTCGTCCTGCTCAGGATGTGATTGGTCAGGACTCTGCTGATGTTGACTCCTGCTGTAGACGGCTTGTTGCTGCAGTCACAACTCAGCTCTTCTCTTACGTGGTTCACAAAGAGGTGCATTACGGTTATGCCGTTGCAATCTGGCATTCGTGGTCGAACGCGAAGGGAAAGACCTGGGTCAGCTGCAAAGCCGCGAGGTGCCCCGGGATGCAGGGAAGTCAGTGGCTCCCAGTGGATGCCCAATGTCATTGAAACACCAGCCATTAAGACCCGCCCCTACTGCTCTCAGCAATGTCTTCTTGCGCTCAAGGATGGTAGCCCTCTTGATCCATCGTGCCCCAACTACCAGGATCACCAGAAGGGCCGAATCCAGATACACAGCTTCCGTTCTCGTTTCCAGAGGCAGCTTGCCATGGATCGTGGCCCAGATGCTGACTGCTGTCCCCTCTACAAGGCAGGGAGCTGTGGGGCACTGTTCAAGGTGAGGCTCTCATCACATGGATACACTGTGGTTCCCGAGGGTGTGGAATACGGCCAAGACGAGAGAGATGTCGTGTTTTGGAGTCGCGGGGGCCGTAGCTCTATTAAACAGTAGTTATGCATTGAGCTGGCTAATAAACGGTAACTACCTATTCACTATAAGTATATTTAAAATAGTAAATTTTAATTATTTAAATTATATACTATATATATATATATATATTTATAATAATAATAGTCACAATAAATTAATTAATACGTCTTTTATATGCTTATATTTTGACAAGTAATAATTTTTTATACCATATTCTTTAAAAAGTAATAATTAACCTGGTCATGCATTACTTCAAATAATAATAATCATTTGCAAAGCAATAACAGGTTAGGTAGTGACTCATAACTATAGGTAACTTCAAAACAAACACTGGAAATTCAAAATAATAAAACAGAATCAAGTCTCAGTCCAAATCTCAGCGCATATACCCTTTTCTACCATGGTTAAGGTGGGCCACCACCCAAGGGGAGACCTTGCCATCCAAAGGTAAGGTTTTGAGGAACGGATTCGTTATAACAGTTCCCATTTTCTATATCTAACCCCTTAAGGTCGTCCTAGTGCGAAAGATATCAGCAGGCTATACGCTATTTTCTGCCAACCTATGGCTTGTCAAGAGAAGAAGAACACTTACCGGGACGCGAAAAAACATAAACATCTGTTGATCCAGCCCTTTGAATCCTTTGGTATTGTACGGGACCCTATTGGCAGAGTCTGTGGCTGATGTGTTTCTCAAGAAAATGCATTGGACTTGTCCCGGATATTTTGTCACTAGCTGCGGGTACCCTGACATGATATCGAGATTTGTTGTGTCGCCAACGATTATGAACTTCCTCTTTGGAAAAGTCTGGAAAATTTTATCGAGCAGAAATTCGCGGATTGCCCAGGTAGCTTTCAAATCAGTTAAATTAACAATTCTAGTATCAAAGCTGCCGACGGGGTATGTTCTGAAGATATAATCCATGTACGGGCGAGTCAGTTGCTCAGGCGATGTTGTCAGATAGTGGAAATGCAGATCTGGCAAGCTGTGGGACCAATTTGCAAATATCTCAGGCATGTTCATCCAAGGAAAGAAAGGGCGGCCAAAGAGGTTAGCCAGACCTTCCTGTATGGAGAAAATTTTGGACACTCGAAGAACGTCGTCAATATCGCTGATGAGAGTGAGCCCTTCTGGGGGGATAAGGTAAGCCGTAGAATTTCCAGTATCCGTACCCCGAGAATATAGCTTGAGACGCTGGGTTTTGCGTGTCTCGTTTCCAGGTATCGGGAAGGCCCCGGACACATTCCTAATCTCGATGAACGAATCGAAGTCACCTTCGAGATTTGTGAGCCCGGGAATATCAATATTCAGACCGTCTATTGGGATCCCCTCCAAACCAGCACCTGCAGCGTCCTGATCCATGTCCGGGGTCACATGGAACGAGACTTTGCTGTGGCTCTGCTTAATCATTAATACGCTTCGTGTTGTGTTGAGGGCGTGAGCATAATGTGCAGGTGGAAATTTCTTCAGCGAAGCGCCGAGTAAGAATAGACTGGCTAGAGCATGAAGCATGTGGTTGGATATATTAGGCTGCTTGTAAACGCTTCCACGAAACCTGAGAGTCCATCCACTGTCGGTCCAATTTCCATAGCCACTACCAGCTGTAGTATTAACAGAGTGAACGACAACGAGATTCCATTCAGGGTCAACGACGTATATATATATATATATATATATATATTAGAAAGACTCACGATATAGTAAGAACTTCTGTTGGGGCCAATTTCAACAGGCCCTTTGAGCCATTGACAGAGTTTTTCAATTCCTGCGGGGTAGGAAAGATTTGGAAAATATTCACCTCTCTATTGATGGGCGATGGACCTTTAGGACTGAAAAAGCGTAACTTGGATCTCACGGATTTTTCAATTTCTCCCAGAAACCTCATCCAGTCGCTGGAAGTCGAGATATATATCGGTTCCGAAGATTGAAAAAAATCATCTGGAGTAGGGCCTGCGGCCAAAGTAGCAAGGCAACCAAGACAAAAGCATAGCAATATGGTGAAAACGAACGAACGAGAACATCCCGCCAAGCGTGTCCACATTTCCGAAGATGTATTCCCGCAGGTTAAAAACGCCAAACATAGATAGATAGGTTCATCCGGGCAGAAACATCTCCAGACTTGGACACGAACAACAGCGAGATGTTGCATGTTCGTCTGTTTCGTCGCAGTCCACAAAAAGCCATTCCTCGCTTTCGGCCAAGTTGGCAGGTCCCGTGGAGGAGCCAGGCACAGTCTACCTGGAAAGGCAAGAGATTAGGAGGCCGCAGCCCGTGTCCGCTGCTTCCAAGGCCGTCTTGAGCCCGGGCAGCGCGCCACTCCCCAAGAGGCGAAGCTTCCACTTCCATAGCCAGGTCCGTTTGGGGAGGTGTTGGGAAATGGATTAGGCCTCCGAAATCAGGTGCTTCCAGCCGCGCCATCGGCGAAGTGCACATCAAAGCGGGTGGGTGGGTATAAGGAATGGGGCGGAGTTGCTAACTTCTAATACTACAGAGCGTGAGGGGTGAGGGGAAAGCGGGCTGGGAGGACCTCCTGACGCGGAACATTCGTCTACACAGATTGGACGAATATCAATGTAGCACAATGGGTGGATTGCAACAAGTTGAGTCGAAAGGGGTAAAGGATGAAACAATTTCCCAATCAGAACGTATAACACTGGCAGTAGAAATCCCTTTCTGAATCAAATAAGAATTTTACTACCTGCTTTTACACTAAGGTTAAAAATAAAAATAAAAATAAAAATAAAAATAAATAAAAATAAAAATAAAAGTTTGTTTAACTGAGGTGCATCCTTGTCCTCTTTCGCGCGCTGCTCTTGACCGTAGGTATTTCAACATCCCTATCATAGGATCGCTTTTCCTTCTGGTCAAGCACGAGGCTTAGCACGTCGAAGCCAAACTGGGGATATTCCAAGCACATGGCCTTGAACTCTTGCTCTGCCTCGTGACGCAGGACATGGCTCCTGGTGGCCCAAAATGCCGCGACTGGTTTCCGGATAGTGACATCGTCCACTGGTGTATTGCCATAGACATATCTTGCATATGCGATTTCCCCACGCGCTGTGCTGTTGATGCGATGGATTTTGCCGTGGGCTAACTGCTTGAGATTTTGTAGTCCGAGTTTTTCTGCCAGGGTATATACGCGGGCATGCTTCAAAAGCTGGTCACCAGTGTCATCGACTTCTGGCATTGTGGGGTCGGATTCGAGTGCGTCGGATGAAGCAAGGCGTCTTGGGAAGTATTCGCCGGTGTACTGGTATTGGAGGAAACAACCAACGGTATCTAAAATCTCGTCCTCTAGTACAATTCGACGCTATGGAGCAGGTGGACGTGTTAGCATCCCATCCCTTACAGAAATATACCCGGCGGAGTGCCAGAAAATTTTCTTTGGAGCGTCGCTAGAGATATTCAAATAAAAGGTCAGGAGAGGCATACAGGGCCATCCTCAGAGAATTGGGCGACAGCGTCTCTGAAATAGGGGCTAGTCGTCAGGATTGCCTGATGGGCTGTTAGGCTGGTTTGTTCATCGCCTCTGCCGACAATCAATTCCACTATCGGGGATTTCAGGTATCTATGAAACAGGTTAAAATAATAATAATAATAATAATAATAATAATAATGATGATGATGATGATGATGATGATGACGATGATGATAATAATAATGATAATAATAATAATAATAATGAATAAGTGAATGAATGAATAAATAAATAATAAAAAAATGTAATAATAAAAAAATAAAAATGTACGTCAGTTTCTGGCTAACACAAGCAGGTCGAATCAAACAATGTGCTTGCTACTGGGCCGAAAGCAGGTTCCGTTGGAGTTACATCACGCAAGCCAGCTGATTGTCTGATACATGCATCACAATGCAGCGGAATCATTTTTGCCATATGAACCGACAGGCTACTCACTCGATAAATGTGGATTCCTTGCTCTCTGGCACTGGCACATTTGTTTTTTCCCTGTTAGCCCCGGCAGGACCTTCAGCTTCATCTCCGTTTGCAACAGTTTCCGCGCTATCGACATCAACTGGGGTTTCCGTGGCGCCGCCCATACCTACATCAGCGGCATCTGCAGGAAGTTCAATCCGTGCTTCAGCCATGGGTTTTAGCGTTTAAGAGGCAAAGCGAAAGGAGCAAAGGCGGGTAGAACGACCGACTACTACATGTATCGTTGATAGCAAAAGAACGAACCGCAATTAAAGATAAAATCGAAAGGATGGTTAGTACATAAACAGACTATGGAATGAAATGTAAAATATAAGGAACAAACTAAATTAAAAGGATTGAGTTCCAAAGTTCGAGCTCCCAGCCTTTTAATCTATTTGACGTTTCCGAGCCATGGACTGTGCTAACAACCGTAAACCTTGTAGGAAGTCTGAGAAGTTGCTGGAGGGTAATAACGTTAAGGCTTCTTCCGCGATCCGGCCTAGCCACTTATGTGATCGGTATCTGTATCTGGCCTGGCTGGAAAACGATAGAAAAACCCCGTCTCACTGTATGAAACATGTTTATATCAACCAATTGATTTTATATCTTGAATTGAATCATGAAATTTAATAGTTATCTAATATTAATAAATAAATAAGTAAATATATAATTTGTGAAAAAATTCAAATTAAACTATTTTTAAAAATCAATTTATTAAAATATTAAATAAATTTATATTTCAAAAGTTTATATAAATAATAATTGATGTAAAAGTATAAATTTTATTTTATTTTATTAATTTTATTATCATATTAGTTCTATTTGAGATATATTAGTTTTATTTAAACTTAGTTTATATATTTATATTAACTATAATTTCAATAATGTAAAATATTTTTCTTATTATATAAAATATAATAATTGATTTTTTTATATTTATAAATTATAATATTTTCTATTTTTTAAAATTTTAATTTTGATTTTAATATTTAATTTATAATTTATATAATTAAATATTTTTATTAAAGTAGATCAATTTTCAGAGCATAGTAAATTAATTTTAATTCATATTATCAGTGACTGCACTATAATATTATATTTTAATTTAAAAAATATTTGCTATTAAGCAGTTATATTAAAGTAAAAAAAAAAAAATTAAATTAAAATTTCATTAAATTTATTAATAAACTAATCTTTTTAATTATTATTTATCAGATTTTAAATTTTTTTTTTCATATTTTATTAATATTAAAGTTATCATAGTTATTATTAAATTCTTATTTAAAGACTGAAATTTATTTGACAATATGATAATAAAAATAAAGTTTAAAAAAGTATAGATGAAAATAATAGTTTTCAACTCAATAATTATAAGATTTACAATATATATAACAGTCTTCTTGAAAGTATTTCTTCTGTTAAGAAGATAAAATTAATGAAGTGTATGATAAAAAAAATATATACAAACTTAAAAATATTAAATTTAAATCTGAGCAATCAGAGTGATTATAATAAGTAAACTACTAAAAAATATAAATTAAAGATAGATAGAGAGAATTAAAAGCTGTTAGGGTGCGAATGCGAGCTGCATAAGGAAACTCTCTCTGCGTTGCTAACTGCTATATAACGAAATACTAGCTTGATGGGATGAAAGAACCACCCGCATGGTCGCGTGGTCACGTGAAGAGGATTAGGCCTAATCGGGCGCCGAGCTTAATCCGACGTCGAGTCTAACCGGGCACCGGGCCTCGGTCGGGCTCGGTCGAGCGCCGAGCCTAACAGAGATGAAACTCTATAAGTGTGTGGATTGATTGCTATTTATTAGTTAGATTAATAAAATAGTTAAATTCTAATTTTAATTAGATAGATGTCAAAGTTACTGACTGAATACACCTTAAATGAATAATAATAATAATAATAATAATAATAATAATAATAATAATAATAATAATAAATTCACTCTGATTCTCAATCATCTATTTAAATTTGTCTGCTTATTCATTTCATATTCTAAATCTTAGTTTAGTATTCTCATCACAGTTACCTAGTTAGATAGATGAATTGAAGCTTTTGTCTTGTTTATCTTAAATCTAGTTTGAGTTATGATATAACTTTCTTTTTTTAAAACTAAATTGAAAATAAAGTTTTTGATTAATTATAAAGAAAATAAAAACTATTTCTAGAAAATAAAATATAATGTTAAATAAAATATTTATTTAATTTATATAAATTCAAATAATACTGCCTCTGTGTCCTGTACTGTTCTTCTTTTATATCTCATGTAATGCTGCAAGCGTGCTGTTGCTTGCCATACTATGTATACCTACATGAGTATTCCCCATTCATTTTGCAGGATGGCGGCACTACCAGCGGGCTGATCTGAGAGACTAGGACAGGATCAGACACTTCAGTCATGTGATCTGTTTAAGTGGTCTCTATCAAGTTTTAAAGTATCTTTGTGTGGTGATGGCTTGTGCAAGGTATGCCAATCAATTTTAATGCCCCTGGTTTGACTGGGCCCAATCCCAATCAATGCCTGCCTGTAAGCAAAGAGTTGTTTGCCGCAGAGTTAATTACTGGAGAGATAGGCACAGATAAACAGGTGTTTGATTGCCAGCTAGGTAAGCTACTTCACCCAAAATACTAAGATGCTCTACAAAACAGGGGTCCGGGGAAGGATCTACCCCTTCCCACTAGCAGTTGCTATGCGGTTGCTAGGCAGTGTGTCTGTGGGGTAGTTGATTGCAGGGTAGTTGCTTGCAGGGTGATTTGCCTGGCTGTGGTTGCTTAGGCAGTTGCTATTACCATTTTCGGATGATGCATGCCGTAGCCAGTAGCCAGCGCCATCACATGAAGTAGTTTATCTTGGCATATTTAGACAAGCTGATTATTGCAACCTACAGATATCAAACACATTCACACAAAAGATAAGGAGTCTACAGTTTATATGATAACATACAGCGGAAAATTGGCTTTGCCTTCAAATAGACTATGTGGGTATCTCCGCTCGTATGTTGCCACGGCTGTATGCCTCATTTATGACTAAACTCGCATACGCCCGCGGACATGGGATATTTCTGTTTTTCTCTTCTTCTTTTCATAGTTATTATTATATATTAGATAGTTATTATTATGAATACTACTATCTTATGCCTACAATGTTCTGACTATCGTCACATAGTCCCAGTGCTGCAAGCCCAGGGATAACCCCTGTTCTTGAAAGTTGCCTTGTATGATAGTTAGTTCACTACTGAAGAGCTTGACTGAAGTTCATGTACATGTACACTCAGCAAAACAGCCTCCTCTCATGATACTCATACCTGTGTCTCTCCACAAACAGGATTAACCTTCTTCAACCCCAGTTAAACATGGTGGTGTGACCAGTGAGGAGTGGCTGATCAGAAAGATACTGGACTTACAGATCTGCAGAGGGCAAGTCAATTCTGGAGTACCACATCGTGTGGGAGCCTACCTGGGAACAGCAGAGTGGCCTGATTCCAGGTTGTGAAGAGTTGATCAAAGAATTTCATGCAGAATGAAAAGACCTGACATCATTGACTTCTCTGTTGGGTTACAGGCACTTCAAGCAGAAATACATGTGATGATGAAGCAGAAGAGGAACTATGAGAAACAAACTGGTATAAATCAGACAGTACACATTAAGCAGGCTAACTAACATAAACAATACTTATACATCATAACAGAGTAGTCATTAAACATATTAAGCTTCAATCACTGCTATCGCATCATCATACGCCTTAATAATAGGATCATAGAGTATTTTTGGGTCTTGTGGTGTTCCAACAATCATTCCTTCCTTCCCATAAGGAAACAGCACACCTCGTATGATCCTGCAGAGATGTTTGACACACTCAAATTCCAGTGGAAACTCCTGCAGAACCAATTCAAATCCACCTGCTTCCATGTTGCCTCGCTTATAAGTTGCAATTTTCACATAAGTTCCAGTATACCATTCTCTCAGCAAGCTGTCTTGTGGCTGTCTCTGTCTCTGTCTCTGTAGCTCATTTAGTTTTCTCCAGCTGTTACGGGCACACTGCCAGATAAGCACATAGAAGAAAGACTCAAGATCATGCCGGTAAGTATGGTCGACATTAAGAAGCACTTCAATTGCCATGAACTCCATTGTGCCAGTCCGGTAGCGTGCACCACTTTGCTCACTTCCAACTTCTTTGGCAAGGTCCAGATCAATTAGCATGCCAGAGTGACCATCTGTCTTTTCAGGATTGGTTATTATTATATTGTTCTCTGAAATATCTCGATGAAGGATGTTTCCGTCCAGGTAAAGAGACTGATGTGCCTTTATTGCATCACGAAGTGCCATGAGTAGCTCCAAGGGTGATTTGTACTTGTAGATTGGCCGGCCAGCAGGTGATATCACCAGACAGCGGAGAACACGGTTGTCATAGAGTTCCTTGCCATTCCTGTCAAAGAGACTTGGTGTGTGCACTGACTGAATGGAGAAAGTAAGTTCATTGTTCTGCTGAGAGGTCCTCAATGATTGACTGGCAAAATGTGGTTGTTTGGACACCTGCATTCCCTTGCCTGGATATTTGCATTTCCTGGAAGATGTTTGATGAATATTCAAGTGACAGGGCTCAGCGGATGGCTGAGATTGATGAAGTGAGGAGACTCTACTGGAGGTTGCACTTTTGAAGTCATGGTGCTTGTTGTCAAAGGTCAGGCCGCAGCGCATGTCAGCTATGCTGGTGATGGTACTGTGTCCAATAATCCTGGCAATCCCTTGGACATTTTTTTGAGCTGCTAGCTTGAGGAGTTCCACCTCTGGGCGCCGCTTATCTGAAACCCATGAGAGCTTGGCTACACCCTCCACTTCTCCATCATCTGTGAGAAAACATGTCGTCCCACGGCACACAATGGCATGCTGAAAGGTAAGCATTTCACTCAGCCGCAGTGTCAATTCCTCTGAGGATTCAGACTCTTTGATGGTTATTGATTTGCTGCCGTCTTCATTTCTAGCAATAAAGGTGTCCAGTCCCAGCTCCTCATCACTCATCATGGTGTAGCCCACAAACACCTGAAGGAATTGTCTTCGGTCTGTGTTGACATCAATGATGCCTGAGCTGTAGGGGCCTGAGCGGTCAAACACCCACATCTCCATCTTGGTCCCGCAGACGGTAAATGCATGGACAAATCGCCGGGTGGGTTGAGCTGCAAAGACATCACGCACATAGCAGCTTATCTGCAGCAATGTATCTTTGGCCCTGATCTCCTTCTCTGATTTTTTCAGCTCACCAATCACCAGGATGTCTCTCCAGTCATGTTTGTCTTGTGAGAGGCTTGTGCTTCTAGCTTTCAGAAGAAGGTCAAGTTGCCGTTTTGCCTTTGAACCAGTAAGATTTGTTTTGCTCACTGTGGTGCTGTAGATGCTGCGTGATTCTGAGAGAAGGCGTTTTTGAAGTTGAAACCACCAGGTAAGGACATCACTCTGCATAGGAGGATCAGGAAACTGGGCCCAGTTCCCATCACTGTCTGGGGCTAGCACATGTTGACAGATGGCATCTGCTTTGTCACTCCAGTCTTTTCCCTTGAAGTACTTGTTGAAGAAGCCCTCAACATTCTGAAATGTGCAGTCGCATATCTCCTCAAAGATTCTCATATTCACCAACTCGCGTGTCTGCTCGGAGTCTTTCTGTGATGATGAGGTGGTTTTTACTGGCGTGCCAGTAAAGAAACGGGGGATGCTTGTCAGTGGAGGAATTGATTGTGAGATAGTAACTGTGAGATCAAGAACAGCCTTCCAAATATCAACATCTGGTGCTTTTTGGATGATAAGCCGCGCCAACAGTCGAAAGTCGTTGTAGTTGAAATCACCCTTGAGAATGCATTCATGGATATCTACAAGCTCACGAGCCACACTGTGTTTACTTATTTTAGATTGAAGCTCAACAGCTATCTCTTGCCCCAGAAAAAAAGAAAGAAGTTTTGATATTGCCCTTTGACAGATTTCATCCTTAGGATCAGCTGAGGCATCATATGCTTGCTCTGCCTCCTGAAGTGGGCCTCGCAGCGAATTTAGCGAGTCATTAAAAGGATGCTTTGCAATGATATCAGAATCATGAGGCGAAAGGGTGGTCATATGTGATGTTATGGCACAGGCAGCAATAGAAGAGATAGGGAAGCAAGGGAGTGAATTGAAAAGTTTGTTTAACTGTGTATCAGGATATCTCAAATCTCAACAGCTAATGTTGTATCAAACTGAGCTGTATATTCCTTGCATCGATTTTCTGACCGAGTAAAATAGGTTGTAGGGGTAAAACAACCAGAAAGAGAAAGAGAATGAGAGAGGCTGACTAAGCGACTAAGTGGCAGTGGCTTACTAATAAATACATTGGTACACGTGACCTCGGGTAGCCGGGGAATCCTCTAACAATATTAAGCTACTAAAACGGTAGGTGCACGTGACACGGGTAACCACGGCATTCTTCCAACATAGTTACCTAATGTAATCAATCACTGTCATGGCTCAGTCTAGAGTCAAGATGAATAACAAAACAAAAGCTTCAATTCATCTATCTAGGCAGCTGCGACGAGAATTCTAAACTGGGGATTAGAATGTGGAATGAACGAGCAGCTGAATATAAAGAGGTGGATTGGAGCGGATCAACCTTAATCCATATTACCAGCGACTGCGCCGTAACATTACCCCCCGGTTTAAAAGAGTGCTTGCCCTCAAAGCAGCTATGTTAGCAGCAAGAAAAGAATATATAAAATCCATCAAGCTTATCAGTAGACTGATCGCCTTAGCTATCCTTCACCAGATCCTTATAGATTTCCTTCCATATCTCACTAACATCAAAATCATTGTTATTATTGGAATCTTCTTTCAAGGCTGAGATTCATTTGGCCAGTTTGACAACAGTAATAAAGCATAGAAGAATGTGGACAGAAATGGTAGCTTTCAACCCAAATGATCATTAGATCAAGAGCATTAAGTTGAATTTGATTTAGATTTGTAGAATCATGGTGATCAGAGTGATCAGAGTGAGCAGAGTGATCACAGGGTAATCAAAGCAGAGCAATCAAAAGCAGCAGAGTGATTGAAGTGAGCAGAGCAATTGAAGCGAGCAGACTGCTAAGAAGTATGTGGCAAGAATGAATAGAAGAAAGAACTGAAGCTAACTGCTAGACAATGTGCAGAAATTTCTTGTAGATCTGAAGTAGATTTAACTGCTGAGCTAGACAGTTGCAGATTGATATACTGAGAAATCTGACCAATTTTGAGCTCTGATGTCATAGAGAATGCATTCAACTAAGCAATATAGACTACCAGGGATTCATTTTAAGGTCTGGCAGTGAGGGCTTTGGATGTTATTTTGTGAGGCTTCTGGATAGCATCTCAATTTCCTAGCAAAGAGCAGTAAGAAAAGCTTTCATAATGAAGAGTAAAATAATAAAAAAGAATAAAAATTCACACAGATTTTTTGAGCACTTAACCTTTATAAATAATAATAATAATAATAATAATAATAATGAAGAAGATTTGAATCCAGGAACTAGGAAGTGAAAACCCTCAGCCTGCAGGAAATGTAATACACCTGGACATAATGTTAGGTAGTGTCAACAGATCTAAGTATCTATCCTGTATAATTTCTATATAGAATTCCTAATTTGGTGAAATAGAATGATAGGGGTTGATCTGGTAGGTGATATGGTCTGGTAGTTAGGTGATTGATTACGTTCGTTAACTGTTTAGTTATTGGGCCTGGCTGAGTAACTAAAAGAAGATTCAGCGCGGGGAATACATTGATTTGAGTTTTCCTCCGATGCTCCTGGCGATTAGTGTTTTGTCTTCGACAGGCCATAACCGCGACTCTGGAGCTTTCTGGCTCGCGCAAGGCATCCCAAGTCGCTGCCGAGACCACAATTCCGATTGCGAATCATTCTAACCTTCCCCACAATACAACAATATGGCCACAGCAATCAGTCTACAGAGGGATCCCAATACCCTTTCTAACTACAATGTCTTTCGCACTTCTCGGACCACTGTCAACTTCGATATTCTATTTGATAAGCAGCAGCTCACTGGAAATGTCATTCACCAGTTGAAATCACTCTCCAATGCTGAATGCCGTGAGATCATATTAGATTCTAGCTTTCTTAACATTCGCGAAGTTAGGGTTGATGGCAAGCAAAACGAATGGGAACTACTTCCTCGCCAGGAGCCGTATGGCAGTGCCTTGAAGGTACCCCTGGCTGAGGGTGTCGCTTTTGGCAAAACCATTGATATTGATATCTCTGTTGAAACAACCGAGAAATGCACTGCGTTGCAGTGGCTGACTCCAGCCCAAACATCTACGGGGAAGCACCCTTATATGTGTGAGTATTTGTTATTTTCGAAGATACAAAAACAAATGAGATATTGTTTAGGATTGCTGATAGCCTACATGTTTATGTATAGTTACCCAGTGTCAGGCCATTCATGCCAGATCCATATTTCCATGCCAGGACACTCCAGATGTCAAGGCCTTTTTTGATTTCAATATCTCGTCTCCCCTTCCAGTTATTGCCAGCGGTGTACCTGTTAGGGATGCTTCATCATCATCTTTGCTATCTACCAACAAGGTTTATCAATTCCACCAGAAGGTGCCTATTCCAGCATATCTTTTTGCGATTGCTAGTGGGTAAGAACCGAGTTGTTCCCCTACTCTGCCAAAAGTGAAACCCTTTGAGAAATAGGGGAATAGCTATCACAAGCTGACATGTGGAACAGTGAGATTGCGGAGGCACCTATCGGCCCCAGGAGCAGGGTTGCTGCCAGCCCTGATAAACTTGAGGAGTGTAAATGGGAACTTGAAGCCGACATAGAAAGGTTCATGCAAGCAATTGATGTATGGATATCTCAAAACACGCTATGTTTGTTTTAATTTTGAGGGACAGGAAATTGAGTTCGGAGTTCTAGAAAATTATCTTCCCGTATATCTGGGGAGAATATAACGTTTTGATACTTCCTCCAAGCTTCCCATACGGGGGAATGGAAAATCCCATTTTCACCTTTGCCACGCCTAGTTTGATCTCAAAGGTAGTCGATAACATGTCTTTTTGCCTACTGAGCTTCAGTTGACAGGACCCGCAGGATCGACAAAACGTTGATGTTATTGCCCATGAGCTTGCGCATAGCTGGAGCGGTAACCTTGTCACGAACGCATCGTGGGAGCACTTTTGGCTTAATGAGGGTTGGACCACATACTTAGAGAGAAGGGTATGTACACTTTCCTCTTTGAACCTTCAAAACATATTCGATTAACTAACTTCTCGATTTAACAGATTCTGGCAGCAGTGTGAGCACCAACCTTACTCTATTCCTCAAAACTTATTTACTCCTTTACTGACGACTCTTGTGTGTGTAGGCACGGTGAACCGTACCGTCACTTTTCGGCCATTATCGGCTGGAAAGCCCTAACAGAGTCAGTCGAACGTTTTGGTAAAGACCATGAGTTTACCAAACTCATCGTTGATCTGAAAGGAAAAGACCCAGACGATGCGTTTTCCAGCATACCATATGAAAAAGGTTTCATTTTTTTGTTCCACCTTGAAAATCTCATCGGCAAGGACAAGTTTGACCAATTTATTCCTTACGTACGTGTCCCGTATCAGAGCTGAATATGTTCCGGTGACTGCTAGCTGACCACACTTCTACAGTACTTCTCGAAATATAAAGAGTTGTCCCTTGATTCCTATGAATTCAAATCGACCATAATCGACTTCTTCTTGTCCGACTCCGAAGCCCATGTCTTGCTTACCTCCCTTGATTGGGACAAGTGGTTCTTCTCACCGGGGCTTCCGCCAAAACCGGATTTTGACACCTCATTGGTTGATGTCGTTTACGATCTGGCGAAGAAATGGCTAACAGCCTCTGAATCAGGATTTGTGCCAACTGCAGCTGATGTTAAGGGATTGGATGCGAACCAGATTGTAGTTTTCCTCGAGCAGGTGCTGTTATTCGATAAGCCTCTCACACCAGAGCAATCAAGGTTGATGGGGGATGTGTATGGGTTTGCGAAGGGTGAAAACGCGGAGGTTTCAAACCTGTACTTTCAAGTCGGGTTGAAAGTTGGGGACAGGAGCGTCATCGAACCCATGGCTGCATTATTGGGCAGCATAGGGCGAATGAAATATGTCCGTCCTTTGTAAGTTGACTATATTATGGATCTTATCGTTGTCTTAATGTACTGATCCAGGGCTAACAATTCTTTGCCTTTCGCTTCCCGAAAAAGGTACCGCGCACTTGAGAAATTTGACCGCAGTATTGCCATTGAACTTTTTGAGAAAAACAAAGATTTCTATCATCCTATTTGCAGAGGCTTGGTGAAAAAAGATTTGTTTGGTAGTTAGTTACCGATGTATCCCTGAGCCGAAGCTTCCCGGGTTGCTGTCACGATACTTGAAGTATTATTGGTGGAGTATGTCCTCGCTTTCGTTGTTAATTCAGGAAATTCTACTGATCTGAAGGTCCGTGCTATTAACACGGATATTATATCATTTTTCTTTCCTCATACCAAAGTTTGCCCAAGCGCCTATGCGTATATTTTATGTTGACAGCTTACTGGTCGAGTTCATTCAAAAGAAATATGGGCCATTGCAGCATGTTTAGTGTAGGCTTTTGGGACAGCAAAATGTTTTAGAATTAAATAGAGACGATAAACACTAATTGTACATGCACAAACAGTTGTATGTACATCAAGGCTATAATGCTACATAGTTTACAAACCAACCAATCGATCTACGATTCCATTTTATCCGTTGTGGACGGGAGCAAACGGCTCATTCATCCCCTTACTTGAAGTCCCAACCAAGGCCCAATCCTGTCGAGTAATTCCAAAAATGCTCTTGATACCACCATCAGCAGCCTTGCCATTAACGACATCCACCAAACTCTCATCCGGAACCTGGCTGAGGCCGACCAACACCCGTCTCATATACGCAACAACTACTGCCACTTTCTCCCAATCCATATCCTCTAGGTGATTTTCATTCCCCGCTTTCGGATTCATGTGTGATGCCTTCCAGATATTCCTCCACACAGCAACTCCCAATACAGCGTCTCCGGATACAAGACCCTGGTCATAAGCAGCCAGGACCCCGCGCCATTGGATGAAGAGGTCTTTGAGGTAGCGGTTGCGGATGCCGCGCATAGTCATGCCGTGGTAGATGGTCATGCGATGTTCCGCGTTGTGGGAGAAAGAGTCGAGGAGGTGCTGGGAGTAAGTGCGGAAGCTCTCGGGGGAGGGGAGAGTGCGCAGACGCACGGTTATAAGGTACATATGCAGGAAGGTGACCTGGGACCAGGTGGAGAAGGTTGGGAGGAGGCCGAGTTCTGTATGTTTTATATGATTAGTGTTTTATTATTCATGTCTCTAATATATCTGGGGGATGTTCTTTGGGTTGAATTTTTCCATCTGTGCTACATACAAAAAAGCATGTTTGCAGCTTTGGATACAGAGACGGCGAAGCAAATTGACCAACCTTTATGCCATGCTCCCTCGCCTATGCCCAAATCCTCACCATGGGTAGTCTTTGGTACTATTGCGCCAGGTTGAGAAGCTTGAGGAATTGTATAGTCGGCCTGAAGTTGGCAAGCCTCGAACATCTTCTTCGTAGCTCCATACGCCGTATATGTTTCCGTTGTCCTCGAGGCGCGGGACTGAAGAGACTGGGCTATATGGGATATCGGTGATGGCCATTGAGAGGGTGAGGATGATGACGACCAATGAGCAGGCTCATATTTTAGGTTGCGCAGGATTTTTCTGCTCTTGTTCTGCGAAGGTGTGGATGTGGATGTGGATGTGGATGTGGATGTATATCGAGTGGAGGCATTGAGGGTTTTGTGGCGGGTAACCCAAGTTATGTGCGCAGAGGCATTGTAAGGGGAACTAAGGGTTCTGTGAATGCCATTGAGACTCTGAGGAGGCATCTATGAATAACGCCTGATCAGCAAGATCCAAACCAGATCGGTTAATACCGATGTGAAAGTAGGCCCTTGAGAAGGATTTCAGTTTACCTGGGGTTTGAAGGCGAGCCTCAGTATATCTGAGCACTGTGTACATGAGTGCCTTGAAGACATTGTCGGTTAGATGGAAGGGGAAAACTATTATAATAATTATTACTATTACTATTATTATCATTTAAGAAGAAGAAGAAGAAGAAGAAGAAGAAGAAGAGAAGAAGTAGAAGAAGATAGAATGATGTCAAAGCATTGAGTGATCGTAATATTTCTGTGAAGCGAAAGTTGCGATATGATGTTTGCACTGTTTGCCTGCGACGCTAGGCTGCTCCTGACGACCTTTCGCTGTTCATGATCTTTTAACTAATGAACAAGGAAAATTAGTAGAAAATCGCTGCAAAATACCTGGATGAAATTAATTTTAATTGCTGGATATATTTACGGTTGAATGGACTATTTAATGTGCCGATATCGCTGACGCCATGGGGGTATATGAGAAAATGTCTATCTTAAATTTCTGTGGGTTGCAGGTGAAAATGGGTATATATCTATATGGCCAGGCACAGGAAGATGAAAGACATCTGCCTCCTAAATACCAAATCCAAAGTAATGGAATGGAATGGTCCATTTATAGCGCACAAATCGGATGCCCGGAACGGTGAAGTGTAAGAGCCAGCTTCAACTATCTACGTTGGATTCACAGTATATCATACATCATGATGAATCGATTCAGTTCAACAGAGCGAGAGAGGAGAGTAAGGCTATTTGCTTCAGCTGCAAACGAAAACATGCTCCAAGCTCGTGTCTACCAAGGGTAATAATTCAGAAAGTCTGTTCGGGTCTCGCATTATAGCGGGAATATCTTCTCGAAAGGTGGACAGACGCTGCATGTCCGTTAGTAAACCTAAGGTTTCAAGTATCTTCATTCAAAGCTTGTACGTACCTGTCGCACCTTGTCATACTCTTCTTCCTTAGACTGATACTCTCGAATAACCTCTCCTGTTTCAAAATCCACATATACTCTCGTGTCCCGCAGTCGAAAGAGGACATTATCCAGCCGCATGAAAAACCGGGACAGAAGCAAAAGTCGAGAAGGCATAACTCGGATTTTGCACGACAACATAGCAATGCCATTATCGGCTAGCTCATCTTCATAGAGCATAACCTCATCAAAAAAGAGGATTGGATCTGGTCGCTTTAAGAGCTCAATAGGAATAGGTGATGAGGATGGTTCAAATGGTTTTGCGTCAGGAGAGAGGGAGCCCTTGTAATCGGTGCTATAGGACCAATCAAACGGTTTGACTACTTCTTTAATTCCTTGATGTGTGTTTTCTCTATTCAAAAAAAAGAAAAGTGGTTCCGCGTCAGGGAGAATGAATGGAAATAGCATAGTAGGGAGAACTCGGGTTTTTTGGGCTCACCTGCTCTGTTGCCATTCCTTCGAGTACGCGACTTTAAGCATTGTCTCACCAGTTTTATCCACGCGATCTAAAGCATCGAGCGCGTTGAAATCCAGTTTCCATCCGGAGGGCTGGTGCTCAATCGTGATATGGTTGTCGCCAAATATCATCTCAGGAGGAGCAATCCCAAGTTTGGTGGTCATCTCATCGATTGGGCCCGCTTTGAGGATTGGGAGTTTTTGGGCTGAAATTTTGAATCCATGTCTTGTAATTGAATTGTTTCTGGGCAGGCTGGCGGAGGGGTACTGCGTATCAACGTGGTGGTTGTCCGCGGCCATGTTGTTTATAGGTGAATGGGATTTCTTCGATCACCTAGTTGTCCAATTAACAGCACTTATAACTAGCTCTCCAGCACCCCAGGTAGTGTGTTAGTTTTTTATTTGTGACAAATGCTGAAGTGCATAAATCCCAATGTCGAAATCTGGCTGTAACTCCGGTAGCAGTTGTTGTGGTCAATGTCAAACCCATCCATGTGCTGGTGGAAAAGTATGTAGTTTTAGGGTTGATGCTAAATACAACAGCCCTAGCACGTGGCCCACACCCACATTATGCAGAGACGATTAGCGAAATATATACGTAGAACATAGTAGTTGGTAAACACACATCAACTGCCGACCTTCGGTCGTTTTCGCTGCGATGAGCCAAAACAACAGCAACATTGCTATCACCAAGGCTCCTCTTCACTCTAAAAAGAAGAGAGCCCGCGCAATCTCCTCTGCTCCGCTAAAACCCCCGGATGACCCCCCCCAGCCCCAAAACACCACATCCCAGGACGTGTCAGACACTACAACAGCCACCACAGCTCAACTACATCAAATCAATATCAACTTCAATCCCCACCCGGCCCTCTCACCAGGAGGAGAATCCATTGAGAATGTGACTGACTGCACTCAAGCAGTCCTGCTAACCGCGAAGAACTCCTCTTTCACAGTGAATTATAAGCTCAATGCTCTGCTGAGTCATGTCAACAACTTCTTCTCTGCAGAGCTAGCTGCAGTGCTTGAGCTATGCAATAAGCTATCTGCAGTACTGGACCTGATACTCTGCACTTATGAGAACTCTCTACCATGCCAGACTGCTGTACTAAGGCAAGCCATGGGACACAGCATAGTCAAAGTCATTAAAGACCTCATCACTGAATCAAAGCCTACATTGATGTATGCTACTGCTGTGACAGCTAAGACAATTCTCTCAAACAATTCCCCTCAGACTGTTTCAGCAATGAGACAATCTCACAAGAAGCAGGTACAGTGGGCCAACTGCTCCCTGCATCAAGAACAGAAAGACAAATAAGTCATGATTAGACTATCTGCAGCACATGCTGCTCATGACCTAGACCCCCAAGCTATTCATGAACAAGTATGTGTCATGATCTCTGATCTGACCTGGATCACTGATATATGACACTGCTCATCAGAAATCACCATGACTGTTCTCTTCTCAGTGAAGACAGTCTTCATTCTTGAACATGCAGATAAGCTGAAAGCTGCTGTAGATGACTGTCTTATTGAGTGACAGAAATTCTGAATCATTTTTGTAGTCAGTTCAATCAAGAAGTCAACACACAGCTTTGAAGGACAGAATATCACTCTGATTTCAGTGTCAGAAGAGATGCTTCTTTCTGAGATTCAAGACACTGCTCATCAGACTTCAATCACTCATTGTCACTGGACAAAGAAGTTCATGGACTTCAATCTGCATGAAGAATACATCTGAGTTGAAGTATGAATCTCTGAAGCACATCTCTTTTCAAACAAACTTCATCTTTTCAGTCACTCAGTGATGATTAACAAAATTAAGAAATTGTCAAAGATCTCAATTTGCACAAGATGTCACAGCTTCCACACAGAAAGAAACTGTGCATGATCTCTACATTGCAAGAAGTGCAGCAGTCCTGCACACTCAGATAGATGTCAAACATCAGCTCACTGCTGCAACTGCCTTGACCCTCATCTCACTCTCAGCATTGACTGTCCAGCAAGACTCAAAATAGTCTCTGAACATATAGAACACATCTCTCACTGTCAGCTACACTCAATACATGAAGCTGGCAGAAGAGCATTCATCTCAGCTCATCAAACTTCAGCAGAGAAGAGCAACTCAGAGTTAAACTCTAGAGACTTCATCTCATCCCCTCTCTCAGCTCTGCTGACATCAGTCACTAGCTTTCAGAGCAATCAGACAGACTCAATGATCTGCTCTCAAACAGACATCAAGATCACATCAAGTCTGAATCTTCACTAATGAAGAGCAGTCACAGCTCTTCTCACAAATCTACACTCACTGTATATCAAGTCAATGTAGAAAGACAGTCAAGCTCTCATGACATCACTCTCTCACTAGCAGATGAAAGAGTCTGTGACATTGTGGTCATTCAGAAACTCTGAATAGCTACAGATCTCTTCATCTGCCTCTTCAAAAGTCATCTCTCATACAAACACTTCACTCTGCTCTTCTTCAACTGGATCAAAAGGCTCAGAGTACTGCTCTATGTCAGAAATGAAAGAGCTCTTGCATCAACTCAATCTATAGCAGATATCTCAAGAAATGTTGTCTGTGTCTCAGTTAAGATCTCTAACTTCAAAAAAGTTAATATCTACAACATATACAATGCCTCATCTGGCATCACAGATGCAGGTCAAGGCCTTCAAAACCTTCTCTCTCTTACACACACCACAGAGACCATCCTCTGGATGGCATTAGAAGACTTTAATATTAGACACACAGCATGAGACTCTACAACTGATAGACATTCTCAAGCAGAAGAGAATCTGTATAACTGAGCAATCTCTTTTGAACTTCAGCTTCTCAACCTGGCTGAATCCTCTACACATAGACAAGAAGACACATTTGATCTTGTCTTCTGTGCTGTCAACTCAGCTATCTGTCATATTGCTTCTGAACTGCACTGCATCTCAGATCATGAAACTCTTATCACAACAGTTCAATTATCACAGACTCAGACTCAATTGATTAAGAAGAAGAAGCTTAGTCTCATGATCTGTGATGCTGATCACTTCTTGCAACTACTCACTTTCTTCTTCTCATCAGTCTATGAGAATGTGAATGAGAAAGTGATGAACATCATGAAATCTCTTCAACTGGCTCTACAAGACTTCTGCTCTCTCACCTCAGAACTCAAGAGTCATCATGCTCCATGATGAACCCCAGCAGTCAAGATAGCCAGAAGAGTATATCATGCAGCATGTAGACACAGCTCTTGTCAATCAGAACAAGTGGCATTCCAGACAGAAATTAGAAAAGCTAAGAGAGCATGAAATCACCAGCAAATTGAGAAGGCTTTCTTCTTATCAGATGTCTACAAGATTGTCAAATGGCATAAATACCAACCTCAAGACCCCACCCCTTCTTTATGACATCTTGATGGACACCTAGAACAATCTTGTGCTGGCAAATCTTCTCTACTGCATGAGGCACTTCTGATCAGACATCTTGACACAGAAGATATTTCAGAGCATACATCAACAATCTCATGCAGAGAGATATTCTGGATGCCTCTTACAGAGCAGAAAGTCTACAGAGTCATCTGCCAGACACTTAGCACATCTTCTGGTCTGGATGGCATTACAGCCAAGGTTCTTCAAAAGACATGACCAGTGATAGGCAATTGAATTGTTCTACTCTTTCAACACTGTATAGATCAAGGAATCCATCCTCAGAGCTTCAAGAAGGCTGAGATGGTGATTATTTCAAAGTCAGGAAAAAGAGATTACTCTCTATCAAAGTCTTACCACTCAATTGCACTGCTATTCTGCCTCAGCAAAGGGCTGGAGTGTCTGATAGCTAGACAAATGTCCCATCTCACTCTTCATCATCACATTCTAGCAGAAGATCAGTGTAGTGCTGTTCAACAGAGATCTGCAGTAGATCTCACCACTGCACTAGCCTGTGATGTACAAGAGGCATGGGACAAATACCTTCTGGCTGGCATGATCACTCTAGATGTCAAAGAGACCTTCAATGAAGTTCTTTGAGGCTGGCTTCTAAGATGTCTACAGGAACAGAGCTGGCTGGCAGTTCTGATAAAGTGGGTAGTGTCTTTTCTCAATCAACAACTAGCTTTGATTCAACTAGATGATGTTCAATTGAAGATGTTTCAGATTCTCTGTGATCTTTCACAGAGATTCTCTGTCTCATCAATTCTCTTTCTGCTCTACATAGAACCCCTCCTCCAGCTTATCAAAGGCCAGTTTGAGTATGCAGATGACATTGCAATTCTGAAGACTGAAAGCTCCCTTGAGTGAGTAGGAAGTCAGCTTCAGAATTCTCTCAATCACACTCTGAAATGAAGTATTGACAATGAAATCTCATTTGACTCAGTCAAGATGAAGCTTCAATACTTTCATAAAAAAATCAAGTACTCAGAGCCCTTCATCTTCTTTAATGAACAGACAATTTCCCTCAATAACTACATCAGATGACTAGAGGTTTTCTTTGACAGAAAGTTACTCTTCAGAGAACATATTCACCTTGTGTGCACTCAAGTCAGAATTGTTACAGAACACATTAAATCACTAAATGAAGTCTCATTCAGAAATCAAACATATTTGCTCAGACAAGCAACTCAAAGCTGTGTCTTCAGCACTCTGTTTTATGAAGCTGAGATCTGATTCTCAAAGTGAACCTCTCAGGCAGTCATTGACAAGATTCAGATAGTCTTCAACAATGCTGCTTGAGCCATTCTACCTGTCTTTGCCACAACATCTACCTCTGTTCTTCTATGTGAATCAAGCTGGGGCCCAGTCAAAGCCTGGCTAGAAAGAATACATGACTGACTAGCCATTCATGTAGCTGCAGCTGATCTGTCACATTCTCTACACCAAAGATGATACATCTCATGTTTTAAATGAATTAGATGAAACATTAAAACAACAGCCATCACATCTGGCTCAGAGTCCTTGCCTCCTTGAAACAATTCTGGCATACCAAATAGAGAGCAAAAGACACTAGAAATTGAGGCTGTGAGATAAGCTGCAGGACCAGCAGCTTTTCAAAACTGACTTCAGAAAGCTGTATCCTCTCTCAATCTCATCACATATACTGATGGCTTCAAAGACAGTCAAGAAGTTTCAGACAGAGGCTACTGTCTATACTGAGGAACAAATCAATCTCTGAAGCTTGATAAGCTGCCTCTGAGCCACACTGCTGAGGTCTTTGATGCTGAAGTGCTTGCAGCAGTTGCTGGTCTTAAGACAGCACTACAGAACCCCTTCTCTATGTTCACATGGCACATTATAGTGGCTCTAGACAATGAAGAGGCTGCAATAAGACTTTACACAGACACATTCACATGAACATCTTTTCTCATCTTTGCTAAGTTCAATGAACTCTGCAGGTCCTGGACAAAACAGAGCTCAGATCCAGCTGGTCTGAGACAGGTCTATGTTCAATGGTGCTCTGGCCACACTGGGATTTCAGGCAATAATGCTGCAGATGCTGCAGCCAAGTCAGCCTGCACAATGAAATGCACTCACTACACTCTGACTCTGATGTGGGCCAAATTCTATGCTAAAGAATGCTTCAATGCCTCACTGCAACAATACTGAAGCTTCAATAGCACATCACAATACAAGAACCTCAATATCCCAATGCCAAAAGAATCCTCTCCTGAGCTCACTCTCCTCTGAAGGAACCTAGGCCACTTGCTGGCAGCTAGAACAGACCATGATGACTTTGCAGCCTATCATCACAGATGAGCACATGACAATGCACTCCTCACCTGCTCTTGCAGCTGAGATAAGACCCTCAAGCACTTCTTCTTTTGCTGAAAAGGCCAGAACATTGAATGAATTAAAACCTCTGAAGCATGCTGAGAATCAAAGAAAGCAATTGACTGACTTCTCAGCACAGTAAGAGAAGCTATGACCTTCTCTATCTGGTGCACTAATACCTGCTTCTTCATTGACATCCAACACTGCTACTAGAACCTGTTCAACATCTGACTTCTCTCTCCCCCTCTCTCTTTTCTATGCTTCTTATATACATTTCTCATCACCCCTACACACCACCCTAGAAGCCCTTGGCTTCCTCAGTCCTGTAATCTTCAGCTACTACACCATTCAGAACCTCCAGGATGGGGGCTACTCTGTACATAGACTCTCAAGAGGGCTTCAGCTGACTAGACATGTCAGGCAGCAGACTAGCTGCTGCACTGGCACGCCTGATACCCTTAGGGAGGTGCTGTGGCCGCGACGGCAGACTATTCTTAGTCAGCTGATCACATGCCTCCAGGTGTTAAATAAGTAATAATAATAATAATAATAATAATATATACGTAGAACTCCGTAGTTACTAAATGAATCAACGTCCCTCTCAAGATGTAGTGATTAGATGTTGACGAAGTATCGCGTTCGTTTGATCCTCCCATTCGGGAAGCTATCTAGATCACGTGAAGCAGACAGAGCATCAACAACCAGTCAAACCCGGCCAGCACCCCCAATTCCGCGCCGCCGTGCAAAACATAGTCAACCTTCACATGCTAATATCTCATCGAATACATATCTTCATTCGGTGATCCTCATTCGGGATATACGCGCTATCTAGATCACGTGCTGCCGGCAAGCCCTGTGGTCAGGTGCCGGGAAAAAAGTTGATCCGAACGTTGCTGGGGTGACGGCGGCTGTGATTGTTGTAAATACAACGAAACCATCTTCAGCCTGGGATCATCATTTTTATACACACACAGAACACCCTCACACTACACCCGCAAGGATCTGGCTCTTGTCAGCTGCACTCCAAAGTAATTTATTATAAGTGTTTGCCCTCTATTTCTTCTTCTTTTTAAATTCCAACTCTCTTCAATACTTACCACAACCGTTTTTATCTCATCTGTCTCGGGGCTTGCAATGTCGAAGACTCTCGAAGCTCAATTCGAGCATCTTTCTGTCAATGACGAGAATGAGCCTCCTAGCAACTCCACATACTATCAGAAATCAAAGGTAATGCTTTTCTTGTAAATCAGTTAATGTTTTATTAGTGATTTGGCTAATTTGTGACCAGGTCGGTGTAACGACCACCTTGAGCTCTTCAGCATCAACAGCTCAACTTAACAGCAATGCAAACCGCTCAAACCTGCTTAAGTACGCCTTGCAGAATAACACCAATGGCTCATCTCCCCGAAGACCCCAGGGAAATATCAGTCTAATATCCTCTTCCCGAATTTCCAACGAGGAAACTTCTATTGTCCAACGCTCTTCCCATCTCTTATACGAGCAACCATCTGCCCCAAAGAAATTCCACCTAGGGATGTTTGAAATCGGAAAACCTCTAGGAAAGGGAAAGTTTGGACGAGTATATCTTGCTAGGGAACGATCAACTGGCTTTGTCTGCGCCCTGAAGGTCTTGCACAAGAGCGAGTTGGTTCAGGGCAAAGTCGAAAAGCAACTGCGTCGAGAAATCGAGATACAAAGCAATTTGAGACATCCAAACATTTTGCGCTTATATGGCCATTTCCACGACAGCAAGCGGGTTTTTCTAATTCTGGAGTTTGCGGGCAACGGAGAATTGTACAAGCATCTACGAAAAGAAAACCGTTTCCCCGAATGGAAGGCTGCGCAATACATCGCCCAGATGGCTGCTGCATTGAAATACCTACATAAGAAGCACGTCATGCACCGTGATATCAAGCCGGAGAACATTCTTGTTGGCATTCACGGTGAAATCAAAATCAGCGACTTCGGCTGGAGTGTCCATGCTCCAAATAACAGGAGGAATACGATGTGCGGCACCCTGGACTACCTGCCCCCCGAAATGCTTCGACCTGGATCGCAGGACAATTACTACAACGAGAAGGTTGATCTGTGGAGTTTGGGGGTTCTTACATATGAATTCCTCGTCGGGGAGGCTCCGTTCGAAGACACTCCGGTTATGACACAGCGGAGGATCGCAAGGGGTGAAATGAAGGTACCATCATTTGTGAGCCCTGAAGCTAAGGATCTCATCAAAAAGGTTAGACTCAGAACTCACAATGTTAATGTAAGCTGCTGTCGCTAACTTGGCGAATAGTTGCTGGTTCTCGACCCGGAAAAGCGAATCCCTCTCGAAGATGTGCAACAACACCCATGGATCATCAAACATTGCCTTAAAGGCGAGCGGGCAACAAAGCGGAGCTCAGGAAACAAAGAGAGCAAATAGAAGTAAATTGCTTTGTGTCTAATATCCTTATCTTGTAATCCTTCTGGGGTTTATAAACGGAGTTTTGCAATGGATATGATATTGACGGAAGTTCGGAGTACGATTGAGCGTCAGCGTCAAGTTGTTTTTAAGCTTTGGAGTTCGGTGTCAGAATCAATAATGCACGTTGATTGCATAGCAATAGTACACGTACTTCACTGTGTGTTTAGTCTCATAAACGTCGTATGGGCGGTTTTTAATGCTCCATACATTCTCATCAATAATCTCAATCAGTCGAAAAATAAACGCCACCTGCTCTGCAAGATTTCTAGTAATTTGTACAAACATATAAAGTACAAAATAAAATAAAGTAAAATTTAAAGCCACAATGTGCAAGAAATTACTCTTCATCGATAGATTTCATCAAACGGACGGGTATCTCGGAAACAGCTGTCCCAAACCTCATCGACGACCTGCCTCGCCTGTTCCGCGTCCTTACAAGCCGGCCTGGCCATGACTGATAGCGCCGCCCGACGCCGCACACACTCTTGATGCTGCTGTGTTAACTTCCACTGGCCGCGCCGGAAGAACTCTCTTGCCCATCTGCACTCTCCGCTTAATGAACTTGCTCGGATCTAAATGTAGGACACGTTTAGACTCCTGTTGAATACACGTATATCCAAACGCAATATGGGAGAGGAAAGGAAATCGACAAACCTCCGCACAAGCCGCGTGTCTCAAATTATCTGTCCAATCCAACTTGAATCGCAAGTGGTCGTAGGCATGTATCATCTCATGCGCCATGGTGTCCTCTATGTGACCCTGGTCCTTCATAGCGTTGGCGCATATCCGTATGCCGTATTCTGGGTCAAACCCGCCGGCTTGTCTCTGTGTGCAGCGTCTGCAATGGATGTTGTAGCTAGATATATCCCCCCCTAGCTGCTTGATGTTGTCTTGCAGAAAGCGAATTATAGGGCCTACATTTAGAAAACGAGGTAAGCATCATATCTCCAAATACACAGTTGAGCGGCAGACACAACTCACTGTATTTTATAAGATAGTCGCGCTGGTCCTCACAGCGTTTACAATCGATTTCCTCGTTTCGAATGTCTCGCGCGAGTAGAAACTGTTCCCGTCCTTCGTCTGTCATCTTCCCCGTCAGGATCGAGAACATGTTCTTCATCTGCGTCCATATGTCGTCGCCTGGTGTGAAGCCGGTGTCTTTGGCTGGCCGCACTGTGCCCGAATTGGCGGCTGATGGTTTACTTTCCTCCATTGTTCAATAGTGATTTCAAATCTCCCTATATCCCTCTCTCCTCTGATCTCATGCAATCCGTCAAGTAAGGGATTATATGCAGCCCAATAAGAAGGATGAACTCGAAAAAGCGGTGTCAGCCGGCAGATCCATGCTCAAGGAAACGAAAGTCGAAGGCGGGACGAAAATCAAATAGTAACATGAAGGCGATTCGATATTCCCACGCCCTATGACGGAGCACCACGCTTCTCAGTAAATATTTAGGGGGGTGTTATATGTGTCTTGGACCGTGGATTCATTTTCGTGTTCCTCCTCTTCTCCTGGAAGAAGGCCTCACGAATGTGGGAGCCAGACTTCCGGGCAAGGAGAAAGCACTGGAGACGGCGACATCAACATCAACATGGGAGGTCAAAGGACTTTTACTATCGTTATTAAGCTGGGTAAGCGATTAGTTTAATTAATATTTTCGTCTTCGTCCTCTTCATATTATTTCCCTTTTATTTTATTATTATTATTATTATTATTATTATTATTATTATTATTTACCTTATCTACCAAAAGCTAATGTATTTCCATTCAAAAATATAAAGGGACGAGCTCCATCGTCTGTGAAGTTACACATGAACCCATCTTGTCCAATCTGACTCTCATCGTCGAGACGGCTGCAAAGCTTCGTAAGGATGGGCATCGAGTTATCCTCGTCTCATCGGGAGCTGTCGGGGTGGGCTTGCGGAGGATGGATGTTGACACTAGGCCGGCTCATCTCCCTCGAATACAGGTTTGAATCTGATGTTGCTATCTCTCCTATTTTATATGTGGCTAACCATAATTCTAGGCTTTGGCAGCAGTTGGACAGTGCAGACTAATGAGTCTATGGGATAGCTTGTTTGCACATCTGCGGCAGCCAGTTGCTCAGGTCCTATTGACGAGGAGTGACATTGCGGATGTGAGTGCGCTCGGTATTTATATGCATTGAATGGAAGCTAATAAGGAAATCGGTGCAGACAAACCAATACCGCAATGCGCAAAACACCCTAACTGAACTTTTGAATATGGGAGTGGTTCCGATTGTGAATGAAAATGATACGCTGGCGGTTTCGGTACGTAATCACACGATGAGTGATGAACTGAGTGTAGATAGTGTTATACGACAAGTGCTCCCAGATAACAAATCTAAATTTGTAGGAAATCAAATTTGGAGACAATGATACCCTATCTGCCATCACTGCTGCTATGGTTAGTGCGGACTATCTCTTCCTGATGACCGACGTTGACGGTTTGTACACATCCAATCCCCGCACCAACCCCGACGCACAGGTGATAGAGGTAGTATCCGACATATCCAACCTTGAAGTCGACGTATCTTCCGCAGGATCCTCTCTGGGCACTGGCGGGATGAGCACGAAGATAGTCGCAGCACGTCTAGCAACGAGTGCGGGCGTCACGACCATAATCACTCGCAGCTCACGGCCAGGAAATATCCGCGATATCATCAATTACCTCCAATCAAACCCGCACAACAACGCCACCTCTCCCTCTCCCACAATGAAAACTAGAGATGAAAAGTCCATCTCTCCACTGTCACCACCACCACCCGCACACACCCGCTTCCTCCCATCAACCTCCCCCATCCACTCGCGCTCCTTCTGGCTACTACACGGCCTCGCTCCTCATGGCACAATATACATTGACTCTGGCGCCTACAACGCCACACTGAACAAAGCCAGCTTACTCCCCGCTGGCGTAGTAGGTGTCGAAGGTCACTTCGGCCAACAAGAATCCGTACGGCTGGTCGTGGTTGAGCGACGTTCCACCTCTGCCTTGAACGGTGACTTCCCGCATCAGGGCGAGGAGCCGCGGGAAGTCGGACGGGCACTGGTTAACTATGGCAGCAATGAGATTGCGCGGATAAAGGGGCTACGGAGCACGCAAATTCAGTCTGTGCTGGGGTATGCGGATAGTGAGTATGTGGCGTTGAGGGAGAATATTGCGTTCTTTCAGACATCAGAGGCGTCGAGTCGGCCCAGTACTCCTGGGACGGATGAACGGTTTAGGCTTTTAAGTCGACCCCAGTCGCGGGCAGCTTGATTATGGCTTTGACCTGGGCTAAGTTTGCCTATTTTGCTGATTCTTTTCTATCCCTTTCAACATGCTGGAATGATTGGGAAGTTCTTGTAAAGCTCAACCCATGATTCCAGGAGGTGGGAGTGAAGATTTTTTTTGAGTTTTATGAGACATCATGATGCCAATGTGTCCATGCCTTTGTTTTCTTCTCCTCAGACCTACTAGATTTCCCATCTCTTTGTTATCAGAGGGGTTTTTGAGGGAATACTAAAAGTATTTAAAATAGAACACGGACAGCGATCGGCGTTCTTTTTGGGTTCAGTACATACGTCCTATCAATCTCCCGATCAGACCAACCGTCATATCTATGCATATTGGAGCTGATCTTGCTTTTTCTTTTTCTTTTCTTTTTTGAATAGCTTTTACTGGTATACAAATCAAGTCAGTCATACTGAAACTTGCTATTAACTCTTCTCTAACATGCCGTAAAGTACATCCATTCTTGCATATCTCGAAGTTACGATTCATCAGCATTTTAAACAATACGAAAAGAAAGAAAAAAATCGAGGATAAATTCATACTACACACCATATCTCGCCCTTTCAGCATGTTCCAAAGCAGTGCCAGTGCAATTGCAACCATCGACCGGACACCATGCCCGTTTTTAAATACCATAGCGCATAACCATAACAGACGCATCCATGCCACAAAAACTAGTAAGATAAAAGGTGGAGAGGCAGTTGTCGAAGTTAATCTTTCCACCTGTTCAAAAACTTCTGCATCTCTTCATCAACAGGCGCTGGAGCAGCCTGCACATTCCATCCAGAAAAGTGACATCAAGTCAGCAACAGCCAAACAGTCAAAACGAATACATGAAATGATAAACCACAAGCTTATAAAAGGAACGGTCAACCCACCGTATTCTCAATGCTCATCACCGTAAACGTAGGCAGAGCAGTTACGGTCGTCATGACAGTCGCTGGGGGCAGGTAAGAAGTTGCAATATTAAAGGAACTCGTGGGGTGCAAGGGTCCAGCGGTTTTGAGGGAGATTCTCGTCGGTGGCTGAACGGGCGGGGGCGCATACAAGATGGTACCCTGTTGTTCCTCGTAGGGTAAATTTGCTTGTCTTTTGCGCAGTTCGTTAAAGGTAGGAGGCCCGTGTGTGGTGGAGGATATGTCTTCTATGCCGACTAAGAGTTTTTGGTCGAAAGAGCCGGTCATGTCGGTGAGTGTGAAGCGCTGGGAGTTGACGGGTTGGGGGTCTTGAGGTATGTGTATTATCATTTGGAGGAAGCTGAGTTATTTTTGAGAATGGGTCAGTGTATCCGTTCTATTTCGGTTTGTTTTTTTATTCCTCGAGAGGTACATATTGGGAGGGTTATGTTTACTATGCGTTGGGCTCGTTTCCACCAATGTTGGCGGGGACTGGAACAGAGACGGAGTTTCCCTGGCCAAAAGATCTGCCTCTGGCTATGAACATAAAACAATCCTGTGGTATAAGAGGCATGCCAAAGTCAATATGGTAGTTTTAAGTATGAGAAAAGATAGCAATTGAGTTGACACGGTGAGAAACAGAACGCATACATAGGAATCTTCCCGGTTACCCCCGGCGCAGAGTTTAAGATCAAACAGAGTAGAGGCCAATGACTCCGTATCATTTCCCAAATGTCGCCATTCAACATTCAGGACACTTCCGCCTTTCAAGACAGATCCAGCTGGAGGCGCTGTGAACTCAATTGTGGCGGAGGCAGCGAGCACAAACTGCGTAAGTAGTAGAAGCTGTTGCTGTTTCATTGCGACCGGTTGTAGGTGTAACGAAAGAGGCACAGAGAATCGAAAAAAGAGAAAGAGAAAAGAGAAAAGAGAAAAGAGAAAGCAGCTCTGAGTACTTTGGAGTAACTAATGGAGAGATTCTAAAGTCTGAGATAGCGAATATGAATGGATACTGCCCGTCAAAGGCTGAGGGAGATCAATCCGGGAGTTTAACCCTGTTCTGCTACGTGGGGACGTGGTTCGTCTCTACCGTGTCTTGGGTTTGGGTCCAACAACCACTCATCACTCTGCATGAATAAACTGGAGTTAGTTTTACGCAAGAATCTCCAGATACATCTCTATACTCTGATGGAACAAAGGCCAGCAATTTCAAAAAGCAGAATCACTTTTTATTTTCGTAGTTAGAGTAAAGATCTGATATCCAACTAGTTCGTTCACTAGTTGCGGGTTAAAATAATATCATTTGTCCAACTTAAAATAAATCCATCCGGTAAATGAGTTAAAACAGAGCCCACTAATAACTTACTACACCAATACAAAAGATACCGAAAATTCACCGTCGAACGATTGGGTGGGTAACGTACTGAGGTGACAGAATTACCGGCGCTAGGCAATGTCACGGATCACGAGATCTGTGATTTCAACCTACCCCGGTTGCCAAATTGCCAACATGTTGAACGTCTCTCTCTCGAGATATATGTGCAAGTATATATAGATATAGATATATCCTTTTTTAGATTAATTCCGGGGTAGATGCAATCATACTATGGATTGGTCCCCCAGTGGAATAGCTACCACACTGCTCTCTGGGAAACCGGTCGTAATCCTCCTCACTGCCATCATTGCTTTCTCCCTCCCGTTTTTCCTACACTTCATCCTCTACAGATCCTCCCCTAAAAGTGCCTCAAGAGATTTCCTCCTCCTTGGGCCTAGTGGATCTGGGAAAACAGCATTGTGTTCACTCGTAAGTCCAGATCCCACGCTTGAAACAATTCTGCTATGCTGTGCTGGCATGAATTAACTACATAAATTTAGCTGGAACAACGGTCAACGTCTCAGTCTCAAAAGCCCCCGAGAGACACACACACTTCCCAAGTCTCCTCGTTTATCTCCGTAACTCTCCCCCCAACCGTGCATATTGGCTCCGACAAATACCGCTCAGTCAACGACCCATCATTCAAAGAAGCAGCCAGAAACCCAATTACCTACCGCCTTCGAGATACCCCGGGCCATGGCAAACTTCGCGCATCCCAGGGGATCGCATTGTTGGCATCCCTATCAAATCCCAAAAGAAAGGGTCCCGATGGGCTCTGCGGTGTAATTTTCATGCTCGATTCCGCAACCTTGTCCCAAAGCGATGAGTTTCTACGGGACGCAGCTACATACCTACACGACGTGCTCATGACGTTGCAAAACCGCGTGCACAGAAAATCACCACTATCGTCCAAGAAGGTTCCCCGAATTCCTGTCCTGGTCGCTGCTAATAAACAGGACATATTCACGGCCCTGCCACCAGGTTCCGTTAGAGCGAAGCTGGAATCTGAGATTGAGAAGATTCGTTGGTCGAGAAAAAAGGGATTGTTGGATGCTAGTGTGGATGTGTTGGCCGAAGAGGAACAAGGCATGCTGGGTGGTGATGAGGAGGGGGTGCCGTTTAGCTTCCAGATGCTGGAGGAGCAGATGGGGATTCAGGTTGATGTGATGGGGGGCGAGGTGTTGAGTGATGATGCCGGCAACCGTGGGAGTGGGATACGGCGCTGGGAGGAGTGGGTTGGGATGTGCTTATGATCTGTATGCATACGGCGTGCTGGTATATTTTAATATACACCGACAATCGATTATGAGGTGTCTTATTTACGAATAGTTTCCGACACATTCATTTACCGAGTGAATAGACGAATATACGGTGTGCAGTGTGTCCCTTGAGTCTTGGTCATTCGAAATATAATAGCCCCCTTAGATGCGGAGTATTTGGTGCTGAATCAAATAGAACTCTAATCCATCACCCATGCTGTGTGTATTTACACATTTTAACATCGTATCCCCAAGGGTAGTGGGGAAGGTATAAACATAATGTTGAAAAGAAAAAGGGAGACCGTTGAATCCAACCAAACTGGAAAATTTATCCATCAACCAGCAGTGAGCTGGAGAGACCAAAGGGAGAAGGGAGGGTGGGAAATAATATATATATATATATAAACCCTCTGAACAATCATGGATGCGTTTTTTTCCGGTGTAGCAACCAAGTCAACAAATCCACCTTGGTAGCCACAGCCACCGGCTTCATTTGTCCATTCTCTCCCTTCTCCGTAACCACCGCAGCGCTATTCCATTTGAAAAAACGATTCAGTTCGCTGAGAGGTGTATCTAGCGTGATTTCGACATATTTACGCCTCTTTCCCGCGTCCCATCCTGATCCATCCACAGAGTCCGGGTCAAGCTCTGGGGCAGCCCGCATGATGTCTCTGGGATTCGTGACTACCTCTGACAATTTCGAGAAGTTGAACATACAATCGGAGACGGGGCTGCTGCCCGTGGCCCTGCCACGAGACAGGCGACTGAGGAGATTTCCGAGAGTGACTAGACCTACCAAACGCCTTCCGGTAGGGGCTAGCACAGGTAATTGATCAAAGCCTTTATCTCTCATGATTTCGATGGCTGCCTCGCATGAGGAATTTGATAGGACAGTAGTCACTGGCTTTAATCTAAGGTCCTTGGCCTTGGCTCCCAAGAATGGATCCTTTGGCACCCGCGCTTGTAGTACATCTGGTGACCCAGGTTCTGTCTCTTGGGAAGTTGTGGGGAGCAAATCATTCGCGGCAAGCCAATCGTCATCCGCAAACTACCAAACATATTAGGCAGGTTACTTCTGCATAAACGTTCGAATGAACAGGAATGAAATAATACCTTGCTTAGATAGCTTCGAATACTATCCGGGAAAATAACAACAATAACATCATCTTCCGTAAAATTGTAGTCCTTGGCTGCCTTCGCAAGACCAGCAATCGCACTTCCACTGCTCCCGCCAACAAGAAGGCCCTCTTCAGCTATCAGCTGTCGAGCATACTGAAACGATTCTCTGTCACCCGTCTTATACCACTTGTCAACAACTCCATGATCCAGCACATCAGGGACGAAGTCATAGCCGATACCTTCAACCTTGTACGGCTCGTTCAGGTGCTCCTGATTTAATGATTCCGGCAAGGCGAGTGTTGACCCATAAGGATCTACCGCAATAACAGTGACGTTGGGATTATGCTTTTTAAGGCCACGGGCAACCCCAGTGATTGTGCCACCTGTCCCCGCCCCGGCAATCACAGCTTTTATATTGCCTGCAGTTTGCTCCCATATCTCTTCTGCTGTGCCGAACTCGTGCGCGAGAGGGTTATCTTCATTTCCATACTGGTCCAAGATATAGGCATTTGGTAGTTCCTTTTCTAATCGCTTTGCGACACCGATATGTGATTCTGGGGAGTCGGAGCTAGCCTCTGTGGGTGTTCTGATGATGGTGGCATTCAAAGCACGCAGGACGGAAACTTTCTCAGCGGACATCTTTTCTGGGAGCGCGATTATCGTTTTATAGCCTGCACGTCAATATGTGCATAGTTAGAAATTACAGTCCCATCAAGTAGCTATGTCGACGAGAAGTTAAGGGCTCTGTCACCTTTTACTGCTGCAACAAGAGCAAGCCCGATACCTCTGAATACGCCAATGGCGCCGGGGTCAGTAAAACCCCACTCCACTTCAATAACTAATACAACAAAGGGTGCACATATCTATGACCTACGTGTTTCCGCTTGTTGGCTCAATTAGGGTATCTCCTGGCTTTATCCTCCCCTTGCGTTCTGCCTCCTCAACCATGCGCAGTGCAATTCGGTCCTTCACACTGCCCCCGGCATTGAAATACTCCAACTTCGCATAGACGGTAGCCTTGATGCCCAGGCTTTGAGGCACTTTATTGAGGCGAACTAGAGGCGTATTGCCGATTTTCTGGGTGATCGATTCCATCACCACTGGGGGTGCAGCGGGGCTCGTTTTGGTAGACATTGCAGCAGGGGTGGGGGTGATAACGGGAAGAAGGTATTTAGTTAAACGAAAGGAAAAGTGAAAAAAAGGTGTTTTCAAAGACAAATACAACTGGAAGATAACTTATAGGTTGTACGTTTTTATATTTGTTTCTTCCAAGGTTCGGCTGGGTTTTGTCCCGCGGACCTTGCCCTGCCCTGCCCTGCCCTGTCTCTTTTTTTGCCTCCCCATGCAATGGTTGGCTGGAGCAAGGTCTAGCCCAACAAGCGCCGAAGCAACCCGCCCTGCGGAGATCTCTAACCTAGTCACAATCTAACTAATAGTCCATCCATGGATCTCTCGAGTACCTATGAGGAATCTGTAACACGCCGTCAGGTGATCGAGAGGTATTTGGATTTTGCTGTTCGATTCAACGTTCAACAATGGTTTCACGGGTGCGAAAAAAAGAACAGATGGGCTTTTTTTTTTGCAAACGTTGCTGATTGGAAGGGACAACTTTCTAATCATGAAAAACATGTGGGGTTGCAACAACTTTCCATCATACCGTGGAATAACAATATGCTAAATGTCAACATGCCGGGGTGAAAATAAGTTAACTAATTGACTGACTATATCTTTTCAAACGGACCCAGAGTCCCATCTGGACGTTAGTAAGACGTTTGGCCAGTGCAATCTGTCAACGAAGCCCAACAAAATCCCCAAGAAATTCATTACTGTGTGTTAGATACAGACCTGTTACAAATAGGATAGATCAGCAAACGATAGTGAGTCAATGGTTTCATGTAGAAAGACGAAGGCGGAATGATTAGTCCTTACCGTGTGAGTGAGCGCCTGACTCGTAGTTACACTTTTAACATTCGTCCTGGGAATAATTTCCTTGATGACTTTGGAACTTGCCTCGTAGGGACAGCCCAAGTCCTGATCCCCATGAACGCACATGATAGGGACATCAGCATTTGTACCAAGCTTCTGCAGGCGGTCTGTGAGGTCTAAAGCTTGTAATAAATTTGAACGCATCGCTCAATAGCAATGGCATCAGCCGTTGCAACAATGTTTTCAAGTCGGCGGAGTTGTGAACTCTGATATCGTCCGCTTGGATGATAGGACGAATAGCGAAGGCGAAAGAGCTTCATGGGTTATAATCAGCTCGTGATTTACGGAATCCTTCGAGCATCGAGTCCCACAATTCGCGCGATGGCGCAGTGGGATTTTCTGGAGTAGCCAGAGGAAATGGAAGCGCGGGGCCTACCCAGAAGAATCCCTACAATTGGCCAGTCCGGTGTCAACAAGTTCCTGGGCAGTTTGATGTTATATTAGTTAGTTACAGTTATAAACAGGTAAATGGTTTTTTACCATGCAGTTACTTCGAACGAATTCGCTGCGTTCGTAAGCTAAAAGTGTTTCTCCTGGTCCCATGCTTGCGGCAACAAAGATAAACGGTCCAATGTCAAGTTTCTCTAACAGATGGGCCGTGTCTTGCGCAAATACGTTATAGTCTATCTGTTCCATCCCCGGTTCGGGACCATTCCAGTCACTATTGCCGAAACCACGTCGGTCAGGGGCAATGCATCTATACTGTTGACTTTCGCAGGTCGAACATCAGCGAAGGCATTGGCCAGCCGTGGGTGGATACCAGCGCTGGCTTTTGTTTTTTCTACTTCTGTTTTGTTCGGCTGATAATCTCTATAGAAGAGCTGGGCTCCATCGAATGGACTCGTGAAGCGAGGCATGTTATGTGGAAATAAATGAAGAAGAGGTTCTATAACCTCTGAATTTGGTGTTGTATGGTAAATCGTTCGGCTCGGGATGGGAAGAGATGATATAAAAACCTGGGATCAGGCCAGCTTTTATTAACCATTCTGCAATAACGATAAGTTAATGCCCCCCGTTGACTCGCCAAATATGACAGGAAGCCCTGACGGGAGGGGGTGCCCATGTCGTATTCTGTTCAGATCAAAGAGAACGAAGGTTTAAGAGGTCTAAATGAGTCCTTATTGAAAGCCTTGGATCTGTAAGAGTGCGGAGCAGATGATGTCGAGAATACGATGTACCATATCGTTAAGGTGACCATCCTCCGACTTTTCAAAAGCCCGGGAATAACATTAAGATAGCAAGGTATGATGGCGGTCAATAAAGGGCAATGTGTTCTCAGCTGCCGTAGTTAACTAGTCAAGTAGTTAGTTTACTGATGACCTTCGTATGGACTTGAACTTGGCAATTGAGGATTAAAGATGCGGGGATATCTGTGATTGTTGTTGAAGGGCTCCTTTATACACATGCATCTAGAGTAACTATTAGTATCCAGTCGGGCTATCACAGTCTTATACGGACACTGTCTTTTCTTTGTCCATTGCATAAATTCATAAATTACATCAATGTTAGATTTGTTCTTTCTTTTTCATCTAGTTGTTTTCTCATCCATCCATGCATGCATGCATGCATCCATCCATCCACCACACCTAAGGGGCTTCTGGTGGAGTTTGTGATGAAACTTTGAGGTCCACAAAGTGCTTAGTTAGCCAATTCTTACCTAGATAAAAAGTTTACATCAAGCTGATGTGTTTGCTCATTGTGAAACAAAAGAGTGTGGAGCAATTATTCCGTCATTCTTGAATATGTTCCCAGGCCCCTTTCACACTGAATTATTAATAGAATTGACATCTCTTCCTCAAGATGTCACAAAAAGGGGGGAAAATAAATTCAAAACTGATAAGCTTCAAATAATGGCTGAAAAAGTCAAGTGTGCTGGGTTCAAGTCACTTAATGAATCATCAATGAATCATCAATGATTCAGGTTTTATTTTGAACATGCAATTTCCTTGACACAAACTGTGCTGCTAAAGGGGCTGGAAGTTGGTAAAATAGTAGTAGTAATAATAATAGCAACAACAACAACAACAACAATAATAATAATAAATAAATAAATAAATGAAATGAAATAAGTTAAAGGTCCCCATGGCAGTTCGCTTGTGAGGTTGTGATGGGATTGAGAAATAATCGTGTTTAGAAGTCCAGCTGTTGTGGTTGGATTTAGGGAGACTTGCTTTTAAATAGTTAGTTGTCGGAGCAAATAAGTTGTTACTGTCTGGGCTTGTGACTTGTAACTACGTTGCTACAGGCTTCAGCGCAATTGATTATTTCCTCAGTCAAACCCATGGATGTCATGGAGAACTGACGGAAGCTTTTTCTTATGTGATTTTCCTCTATATATCTACATCTCTCTTTCGTTGTGCGATTTTTCTCTTCGCTCTTTATATTATACTCTTTTACTTGTTGTGTGGTTGACCCTTCAATTATTGCTTATCTAGATAGGGTGCGCTTCTTATTCATTTTCTGACCAGCCTCGCCAATCCTGGAACTGAAGGTAGAACGTGGAAATTTCTCACATGCAAAGGTCTCTCGATTGCAGGTTTGCTTTACGGCAAGTCCTTAACTGCGGGCACCAATATTCCTTGCCAGAAGAAGTGCTTGGGTTAACGGTATGTTGTCTTTTTTGAACGGAGATAAAAAAGCTCGCACGTCTCTCGTTTTGAACAGAGAGGAATAAGGATTCCGTCCCAGAATGACGCTCCGATCTCCTTCTGCTTCGCGCTCTTTCGAGTGCCCCGAGAATCTTCCAGGTTGACCCCCAATTCGGATAGCTAAGTCCAGAGAAGCTGTGCCTTCGATTTTCTTGAACTCCGAAATGTGTTCATGGTTGTCTTGCTCGTAACGTTACTCTCCAATCTTGTTGTTGGCAACTTTCTTCGGGGACGGTAAGTTGAATTACCTGGAAGGAGCGCTGCTTGTACTGGTTTACTTCATCTTCGTGGTGACATCTTGGTCCTATCCGAATCCTCACGACGGGACGAACAAACATTCAGGTCCCGGAAGGGGTACAACACTGACAGCGGGGAATGTACCGACCCGCCCATATTGGCTATTTTCCTATGTTTTGAAAGTCGCATTTCATCTTGCATTTGGCGCTGTTTGACATTTTTGATCTTTTTTGCTCTCTAACAGCTTGGGGAAACATTGCTAGTCCAGCAACTGTGACTTGGTTCTCTTCCCTTGACTCTGAAAACTTTTTGAGCGTCTTCAGCTCACAGCATATTATAGGGGAAATTTTGATTTTTCTTTTCATCATAATTAGCCCAAACAGTTACAACCAACGAAATTCCCAATGACATCACCCAACACTTGACCAGGCACTTAGTTAACTAGTTAGTTAACTAAATTAGTTATTTGTAAAAAGGCGGAATAGAGAAGCTATGGGGGTTGACAGCGTCTTGTCTTGATTAAAGGCAACCCAATTGTATGTACATTCAGAGAGAGAGAGAGAGAGAGAGAGAGAGAGAGAGTGTGTGTGTGTGTGTGTGTGTGTGTATGTGTTCTCGTACCAAATACAGAATAGCCATGGCCCTATTTTGTTATTGTTAAATTGAAATTTTGTTAAATGAAGGTTAAAGTTCCATTGAACGAACTGTGTCCATTAGCTTCATCCATCTCGTCTGCTTAGTTAATCAATAATACGCCAACCCTTATTTCCAATGCATTAACTAATTAATAAACTTCACAACAGTACAGTGGAACGACGACCATGGAAATCAACCAAACATCACTGCAGGAGAAGGTTACAAATGCATTCAGGGAACGAAGTATTCCTGTTAAACGTGATGAGATTGCTGCGGCTCTAACAGATGCCGAGTCTTGCAAATGGATAGAAAGTCATCTTGGCCCAGATAACCTGTTGTCGAAGGAGGAATCTACCTTGTAAGGGAATCGACATCTGTCCGCGGTGGTTTTCCCCAGCAAACAACTGGATTCTTTAACTAGACCGTATTAATTAATTTCTTCGTTGTTTGTTAGGTATGCGAAATTAGAAGCGACTGGGTCCCTCAAGGGTATCCTACAAGGTCAAGAAATTTCCTCGACAAGACCGTTCCTCGACGATGAAATTCGTGACGCGATTGGATCTCTCAGGGCGTCCACAGCAGCCATTGAGAACCAAACAGAGACATTGAAACTGCAGTGCAAGGAACTTAAATCCCAGATTCGAAATGCAAATCAGTCACGCCAACGGGAATCAAGAGCATGGGGACAATTGAATAAGAAACATGCGCTGGAGAGGCAGCAAACCGATGTTACTGTATTACACCCAGCTCCGCTCCGCTCTCTTTTGCATGCTTTTCTTATCGAAGTTTACGTGTACAAAATGGTTGATATTTTCGTAGGTTGAAGATCTCACCCACGAATTTGAGACGTCTCTCGGCGCTGTGCAAGCTTTGTTGTCCACTGAGTCTAGTACCTTACTCCCCATGTTAGCAGGCAAACTGAAGGATGACGACCGATCCATGCTAGGGTTGGAAAGGATTGCATCCACCGTTCAAATAGATGGAGATGACAAGGAACTTAGTACGCGAGCTACCCAACTCACTGCAAAACTTGCTGGATATCTTGCAGAGGAAGTTCGCTCCCGGTTGGATCGACTCTACCTTGAAGCTGTCCATAACGGCGCTTCCGGGGCGGATCAGGATGAAGACAAGAACACCCCGTTGGCAACTCTTCAAGAGGAGATCAACTCGTTATACTCTGAGATTGAGATTCTCGCAGAGATGACCACTCAGCAACAATTCAAGGTTCCGATACTTCGGGCTCTTCAGAGTCGCAGCACGGAAACTCGGTCGACTTCTCAACAGCAATTGGAACAGGTTCGTACCCTGGTGTATCATCATCCCTCTTTTAACGTCTCCTCCAGGCGCAGCGAATTTAATGTTAAAAGCGAATCTCAAAACAGATTTTGGATACAATAATTCAGTTAACCCAATCTGCGGAAAGAATAACTGAAAGACTGATTAAACGACAATCCCATCGGATAGCTATAAATTATCTGTCTACCAAATACACATACGAACAAAATAAGAAACAATCGGAGCAGCAGACAAGTAAAAGCACCACAGCACAAAAACAAATATCCCGACTATCATATGCACCTTCGACACCCGGAAATACGGAGCGAAAGAGCTCCATCTCCCTCCCTCTTGACCATGGCTCGAAAGCCCTAGAACAGCTTCTGCGTCGACTCGGGATTTCCATTGTTGATCTTGTGGAAAGTGGATTAGCTGAAGACGCATCAGCATCACTTGATGAGAAAAAGCAGCACATGCTGGAGATGCTTCAGAATCTACAATCTACCGCGGAGTCGCCGCTCTCTGTGCATTTGGGGCCAGCTGAACAAGCCGCACAGCTACTGCATTCGGCTCTCTATGCAGATTCAAAATTCGAGGTTTCTATGGCTGATGATGCGCCGGAGCAGAGAATCAGTTCTTTGGAGTGCCAGATTGAAACCCTCCGCAAGGGAATTGATGGTCTTAATGTTGATATCTTGCATGGAGAAGACAAGGCGCAGAAGAAGTTTATGGAGAGGTGGGGATGAGCTATGTTATTGTTCAAAGCCATTGATGGAATTTGTTTCTCATTTGTGCCTTTCACTTTTTGATTGGGTCGTTTTGGTCTTCCCGCTAATAGAGCTGGTCCAAACCAGTTACTTACGGAAGGGTGAGGAGCCCATGGGCTTTCAAACTCCTCTCAGATGAATTGGTGTTTAAATGCCAGTCCAATAATATCTAAAGTATTACAATGGCACAAAATTTTTCTTTTACGGTTGTATCCATGAATGTTGAGGCTACCAGACCCTGGTTAGGAAATCATGTGACCTTGGTTATTTCCCAAAAGTCTCCTTGTGGATTTTAAACGAGAAGAAATTGACATCAGAAAATCAAGTACTAAGTAGAACAGCCGTCAATGGGGGACTTTCAAAAGAAAAAGAATAGGAGAATGCCTAGTATGTAGTTCCTCATCGTTTCTATCTTTTGGAATCTTATCTCTCAGCTTCCTGCTTTCTAGTTTTGCTCTGACAGTTGCTCTTCACAGTCCTGCCTTGAAATGCAGTGAAGCTGCTGTTTTCATCACTGCTAAACAAAAAATCCCTTCCTCTCTGTTTCTCTTTTTTCGTTTGAAGACTTACTATCTCCAGGATTTGAGCTGCCCGTCTCGGTGTTCAGTTGTCCCTTTCTCGCTTTGTTATGGACACAATCCCAACTTTTGTTTGTGGGAGACTTGGAAAGATTTAATACTTTCTCGCCGCCTTTGATTTAACGCAATTTGCCAAATTTGTTCACTGGTGAATAAGGTATCTCGGATTGGATATATAGGACCGTTTGATCAATCTGATCACCAATTCGACATTTTAGTCCTCATTTATTGCCATCGGAAGACGTGTCTGTCACAATATTTTAACGATACCTTGCCACGAACAATGCAAGCTCTAGTACACAGAGGGCACCTTCAACTAATAGCTGAATTCAAATACCTGTCACTGTTTATTTGTGAATACCTTACCTGGCAAGGGAATAAATGCAACAACCCACGCACTTCCCATGCTAAAGCCTCAAATGGATGGAAAGCAACCTCAGAATGAGCAGACGAAACCAGGAACAAAAAGAGGACATGACAGGCGATTTGTCAACACCTTTGCGCCAGCTCTCTCTTACTCCAAGCCCGCTTCCTCAGCAATGTACTGCTGTGGATGATGTTAAACTATCTCGTGATGCGGAAGTATTCAACCTTTCCGCTGAATCAGCCTTGAAGGTACTGTGCGCACGCGTGGACAGACTTGCCAAATCTACCGGTGATGTCCCCTCATCGACACCCGTTGGGGAATTCATTCCCCCGGACGAAAGCTGTATCAACTCTCCTACGGGGAAAAACAGCAGCAGCAGCAGCAGCAGCAACAACAACAACAACAACAACAACAACACCATCATCATCAACAACAAAAACAACAACAACCTCCAGGCATATGCCAACGCGGAGACCGGCAGAGAACAGCGTGAAATCGATTCACCAAGGATATTGATAAAGAGCTTTTACAGCAAGCAGATTTCCTCACTAACCCTGGAAGAGTATCTTCTCCGACTTCACCGTTACTGCCCGATGTCAACAGCAGTATATTTGGCGACGAGCCATTACATTATATATATGGCAACAGTGGAGAAAATCATCTACGTGACGCCTCGTAACATGCATCGTCTCATTTTAGGGGGGCTTCGGGTGGCATCAAAAATGATGGAGGATCTTTGTTATCGACACAGGCGGTTTGCTAAGGTTGGGGGAGTGACGGAACGTGAGCTGGCTAGGCTTGAGATTAACTTTTGCTTCTTGATGGATTATGACTTGAAAGTCGACGTTGAGATGATGTTTCGTGAAATCGAGGCATATCGGGAGGGGGCAAGATAGGATTTTTATTTCTACCGTTTTCGGGCAACACCTGTGGGGTGGATGTTTTCGGGAGAACTTTTGGTTGTTGAATTCTTGAACGGATTTGCTCTAAAATATAGATCATGGATGTCGGATATACTGAGTTGAGTCGGATATTTAAGTTTTTCTTCTTTTTTCTCTTCTCTTTTCTTTTTTTTTTATGGCTCTCTTCCATGGATTTTGCGGTATGGCACCTCCTTTTTACATTCGTGAGCCACAGCTTCTGTTTTCATTTGAACATTTTTGGCAGACTTTCTCTCTCATGTATGTATTGCGCTGTAACTACATAACCCCAGGGCTTCTCCAATCATACAAAAGATTGGATTTCAGCCTCATATGTATAGCTCTCCTAGACCGTTCAGTTGAACATATTTTAAAAAAGTTGAACGCGATTTGAAATCTCGGCCAGGAAACCTTCCGGGTGTGAATTTAAGATGTAAACCATGACACTCCAACATTAAAACTACATATACTAGTCATTCTCACACTTACTCATCTCTATATGCTCTTGATGATAACTAGTGATTTTATCATGTTCTGAGACCTTTACCTATAACTAACCGTAATCCTACCCCCTAATCTACTCCTACCAACTGGTGCTGTGGGTGGTGAGGTTGAATAAAGATATATAATAGGAATACAGTGTGCAGAAGTTATAAAGCGCTATGCCCTAACCCTCATGATATACTCAGGCTCTGCCTTCGTACGATCGAAGCAGCGCTATCGGAGCGGCGCTATCAAGGCAGCGTTCCCACATTATTCGTGTAACTACTATCGAGGCGGTGCCACAATCATCCTCATATAAAGCCCCTTACTACTGAAGCTCTGCCCTTTATAGAGGAAGCCAAATCCCTATCAATTCTCAATAAAAGTGCAAGAAAATTTATTGAAGAGGAAAGACTTGAACTCACAAGAAAGGTTATTTAAATGATATATAAAACTTAACTTATGAATAAATTTCATGACTAATCTGTAAAATATAACTAGTTAACTAACATGTAAGTTAACTATTAACTAACTAGTTTAGTTAGACTTATATAAAGATTGACTTAATCTGAAGAATAAGCTGTTCAAAAAATTTCAAATTTAATAAAATAGGATTTACTCTTATAGCTGATATTTAAAAGAAATATAACTAATCATTTATTTTTACAAAAACACTCTATAAGCTCTTTCTTATAGATTAATAGAAACATAATTTTAAATTAATTAAATTTTATTCAAAGCATTATGTTATGACGCAGTTGCTGGTAAAATGAATTAAGATTAATTCACTTTAACCTCAATTATATTCAGTTGTCTCAAATTGATCTGCTTCAATTCTTATTCAAGCTGCTCATTCATTTCAATATTTTAATTCTCAGTTTAGTATTCTTATTGCAGCTATCTAGTTAGATAGATGAATTAAAGCTTTTATTTTATTTATATCTTGATTCTAATTTGAGTCATAACACATTAAAGTGATTATTTCAAATATTATAATCATAATTAAATAAAATATAAAAATACATATAATTATTTAAAAAATATAATAACTATATACAAACTCAGATTTAAGATATTTATGACTTTAATAAAATTAATATTTTATTTAATAAAACTATAAAGAATTAAAAATTATTATCATTATTAATTTTCTTATACTTGTTGAGTCAATGACTCTAACAAGTTCATGAATATAAAGTTGATTATATAGCATAAGTTGATAAAATATACTTCATCACTAAGTAATGGATACTACTAAGTGATTAATTCTCTTCAAAAATTGTCAAATATTCAACTCAACTATCTTTAACATATTATTTCTTTATTATTTTCTTCAAAATACTTTTATCTTAAAGATCTTATATATAGTTGATTATTTCTGCATGTAAATTTAAAAAAATATATTAAAGATAAAAGCTTTAAAGATATATAAGATTTCTAAATCTATTCTATACAAATGACCTATTGATATCAAATTATGCTTAGAAACATATATAAATAATCATAAATTAATAAAGATTGAAAAAAAAAATTAATTTTAAATAACTATTAAATATAGATAAGTAAAGTTTTTTAATTTAATTAAAATTTCTATTCAAAATAGAATAGATTTTATATTAAATATATATTCTTGATTTTATTATTTTTTTTGAAGTTAAATAAGGATCTTGATTTGTTATGTATTATTTTTAACTATATATACTCTAATTACTGTATATTCTATTAATAAATTAAGTAGAATAATTTAAAAGTTATATAATATTAATTAAAAATGACATATAAAACTATTTAAAAATATAAATTTCATAAAAATAATATTTTAAAATTTATTAAAACTGATTTTATAATAAGATTTTATATAATTTTAAAGTTATTACTGTAGTTAAGTATAATGAAAAATTATATATAATTCAGAAAATTATAAAATTATGAATATTAATTATACAGAATCAAAAGTATTTTATTTTATCAGTATTAGTTATAAGTAGTCAAATAACTAACTAGTTAACTAGTTAATGTAATTCCACACTGAGCGAGACACCCTAGTGAGTGAGATACTAAAACCACCGTATCCTAACTAACTAGATTTTAACCTGAAATATCTACACCCACCTCCCCCTAATTAAAGTAAATTAAATTACACTAGATTGAAGGCATCTTGTTCTTTTATGGCCAGGTAAATTGCAGTTGCTGCACTGCTGTGGTGCTTCTGAGAATGGCCTAGGCCCTAGAGACTGCAGGCTCAGAAGGTTGAATGATAGACTGTTCAACAGGTGCAGCAGGTGGAATAATAAGATCCTGAGCTTCCTGCCTAGTGAGACCCCCTGCATGTTGAATCTGATGTCTAGATCTAGTCTGCTTTTGCTTCTCTATCTCATTCGTGTTGAATATATCCTGGTATTGCTTCTTTAGAATAGTGGTGCTGACCATTCCATGTTCACAGGCCTTGATAATTTGATCAAAGCCTTTTATAAAGCCTTGAGGCTGACCTTTCACTAAGTATTTGATCTTATTTGCCTGCTGGTGTAATTGCCAGGAATTACTAGGTGTTTGAAGCACTCAGGACGTGGTTGAATTGCTAGAGCTGCTGCGTAGGGGGGTAGGGGTCCAGAGTTGAATATCCAGCTACTGGAGAATGTAGTCAGGTTGAAAGAGCACTATTCCAGTAGCTTTGAAGCCATTTTGAATAGTCTGCAGTTTGAAGGCTTCAGCGTGCACTGCAGGATAAGTCTCTAAGAAATCTGCCTTCTGAATAGCATTAAATCCTAGCCGCATTCACTGTTGAACTAGACCCCCATATGCTCACTTTAAGACTGCAAAAACACTCACGTCTAGTGGCTGTAAGAGATGTGATGAGTGAGATGGCATGCAAAGACATATAATAGCATTATCCTTGCAGATTTGATCAAATTCTGGGGTAAGATGACTGCCGTGCCCGTCCAGAATAAGAGGACTATAGGTGCCAACCCTGCGTGGATTTGCAGCAGGAATAAACAGCCTAGTAAGCTATTTGACTCCTATCTCATCTGTAGTCCAACCATTAGGGCTAAATCAAGTCTCCAGCCGTCTGGGAGCCTGTCAAACAAGCCTTCCTGTAGGATCTGCCCTTTGAGAATGATGTATGGGGATAGGGCCCATCCTGACGCATTGACTGCCTCAATCACAGTCACTCATTCACAATTCCCAGGCTGTAGAAGCTTTGCCCAGCCATAGCACTCAGCACTGGTGATGACCTTAGTAGTGGCACAGAGCCCCATGGCAAAGTCAGTCTCATCAAAGTTGTATATATCCTCTGACAGAATCCCATGCTCAGCAATTGTAGCCTCCAAGGTCTTAAACCAATCCTGTATAACCCTGATATCTTCACATTTGGCTTGTTCATGATTACAGTGTCTGGAATACCAGCTTTGAAGCTCTGTACAGCATTTAATCAGTCTTGAAATCCAGTTCTTGCTGACCCAGGGGGGAGAGGTGGTGGAGGTGATGGAATTCTGTAAGGTAAGAAGATAATTAGCCATATCCTCAACAAATGCCAGCTGGGGGGGGAAATCCTCATTTAACATGGTCCAGCACCCATTCAACTAGCCTATCCTCTTCAGTCTGAGTCAATTTATGTGAATTTGAGTGTAAATTCACCCATGCAGGTCTGCCACTCAGTTGATGACCAAGAGTAGAAGATGAAACATTAAATAGGTGTGCAGCTTCACGAATTGAGAGTTTTTTATTATTTTGAATAGATTTTATCGCGAGTTCAAGCCTCCCCTCTCTCTCAATAGAATTTGAAGAAATTTTATTGCGAATTGGTGGCATAATTGCGTGTTGAAGTGGAAGGGTAGTTAAATTAGATGATATTTTGAAATGGTGTCTCGCTCGCTGGGGTGTCTCGCTCGGTGTGGAATTACGTTAGTTAAACTAACTAACCAGTTAGTTAAAATCAAAAATCTTATAAAACAAAAGCTTGGAAGTTTATTCCAAAGTCTAGTGAAAGACTTAAATTATTATTAAATTATCAAGATCTGCAAAATACAGAATGATCAATATCACTATTATAAGAAAGTGATACCAGGATATATTTACTATGAATGAGAAAGAGAAGTAAAAGTGCAAGAGATCTAGTCACAGAATTCGATGCGTGAAGAAGGATTAATCAGAGAGGATGCTGCTCAGCTTGTTTTCTCATCTGTTAAGCTTGTTGAATGATTGACATTTTGTCATTCATTCAATCCTTTGTGCTGCCAGCAGCAGAGCACACTCAGTGTCACAAAGATGCAGCAATTGCGGCACAATTGAACATACAAGGCTAAGATGTTCTCAACCCAGTGTAATTTAATTTAATTTAATTAGTTGCTGCTGAGTGTAGATATTTCAGATTAAAATCCATAAAATATGCTGTTCCGGAATTGTGACTCGCTCAGTGAGATAGTTAGATGCTCGCTGCTCGGTGGAGAATTACGATAGAAATATGCTTGCGAAAAACAGTGTTTGATGCCAGCAGACAGAAATTAATCAAGAATTGATTTATTCAAGTTATAAAACGATTTAAAGCAATATACATTGATTACAATTCTTATTTTATTTCTTATAGGTTTTGTAGATATTAAATATTCAGTTAATCTAAGCCCTTCAACCACTTGAAAGATGGGGGTTGCGCAATACAAGTCCATCTCAACCAGCCTCGTAATTCATATTTTTAATTCCAGCCTCAAATTTCTCCGGGACCGCAGCCCGTACCTACAACAGGAGAATAACTCTCCCTCTCCAATAATCAAACCATATCTTTCATATTATATCTCCTTTTCCTTTCTATTTCTTTATGTGAATGGCGAGATGATCCTCATTCTCAACTGAAGTACAGAACAGCCCGTCATTCCACTCCACGTCGCATTTCTCCCTCCTCCGCTCTCCCTACCGTAGGCCACTTGAAAGAATGAGCCATGCACTCCTCATCATCATCTCGCGACGCTCAAAGCTTCATAGATAGAAACTCCAGCTCCACGTCTCTTGCGACCGGAAAGGCGTCAGCTGCCCCACCGAAACTCTCGACTCGAGAAAATGACCTCGAATTAAAGGACATCAGGCCAAGCGATGCCAACGGCGGCACTACCCACCCAAACCCATCCATCCCTGTTGAGGAGGATATCATGCAACTGGCCAGGCTGGGAGAAATCGGGACAATACAAAAGTTATTCGAAAAGGGAAAATACGATGCCAAATATAAAGATGAAGAGGGTATTACACCGTTGCATGTGAGTGCATATACTGACGCCATTGTCTGGTTTTTTGGTTAAGGTCATTGGAAACTGTTTACTGGAACGGCTATCGGAGGCTAACATTTTCAATTTAAACGTCTGATTTCCTCTAGTGGGCCGCAATAAACAATCAGTATGCCCTTTGCAAGTTCTTGCTCGACTCCGGCGCCGAGGTGGATGCGAAAGGGGGTGAGTCCGTAGCTACAGCAGCTATGTGGGCAGCTCAGCGCTGCCACTATTACATCGTGAACCTACTTCTGCAGCATGGCGCAGATCCTCTATTGACCGATATCCAAGGGTATAATATATTACATCTTGCTGCCATCGACGGGAATGCGTTTCTCCTCGTCCTCCTCCTACACCAAGAAATCCCAGTGGACGTGACAGATCCTCAAGGCCATACCGGCCTGATGTGGGCAGCGTACAAGGGCTTTCCGGCATGCGTGGATCTCTTTCTACGATGGGGAGCTAATGTGAACGCTGTGGACGAAGGGGGATTGTCACCATTGCACTGGGCATTGGTGAAAGGTTCCCCGGCTTGCGTTCAAAAGATTATCGAGTACGGGTCGGATCGATTTGCAAAGACAAGAGACGGCAAGACGCCAGCAGTAGTGGCAGATGAAATGAAGACGACGAACGTGTGGCATCGGGCTCTAAATGAATGTGGTTATGATCGGGAGGGGAATCTTAGAGCTCTACCATTCGGTCTAACCAACTTTATACGGACGAAGCAGTTCACGTCGAAATTTTTCTTCTTCTGGCCCTTTTTTGTTATCCTTTTGTCTATTTTCACTCTCAGCAATATGGTGATATATGTTGCTGTTCCCACCACCATCGTGATTGTTCTTGGCATGCAGTGGATTGCACAGCAGGTTGCTAATCTGGGACCTCCGGAGTACAGGGTGTTGCAACGAACGGTAGGTTTATTCCTGGCGCAAAACGCCCATAAATCAGTTTAATTTGTCTCATGCCGTACTGATTGGGCCCGGACTATATATTCGATGCTAACGCGATCCCTCTATATTAGCCGTTCTTAGCAGGCGTATTTGCTGGATCACTATTTTGGGTGGGCGTCCGCTGGCTGGTCAAGGTCCTCCCAAGTAAGTAAGACCCAAACCAATTTTTTGGAAAGGATTTGAGCTTGTGGCTAATACTTCGCAATAGATACATACTCTTCCCATCCGATTTTGAACTTTTTCTTTGCGATATTTGTCTGCTTGACAGCATATTTTTATGGCATTTCCATGCTCGAGGATCCGGGCTATGTCCCTAAACTTGGAAGCAGGAACCAACAGAGGAACACTATAACAGACCTATTTGAGCTCTGGAAGTTTGACGAAGACAACTTTTGTGTATACTGTATGATTAGAAAGCCTCTACGGAGTAAACATTGTAGGCGTTGCAAGCGTTGCGTATCAAAGCATGACCAGTAAGTCCTATAATTCAAAAGTTTTCATCAGATTAAAGCAACTGATTGGAAAACTTTTAGCCATTGCCCGTGGATCGACAATTGTGTTGGCGCAAATAACCTGCGCCATTTTCTTTTGTATATCTTCAGCATGGAAATTGGCATTATCATATTTATACAACTAGTACTGGCACGTAAGTCTAATATTTAGGAGCACAGAACATGGGAATCAATAAATACTTACAAAAGTCCAGATATCGACTCCATTCCCGCCCCATCCAACGCCGAATGTAACATCCTTTCCTCATTTCTGTGTAGCATCGTCACTCGAGATACTTTTACCATTGTCCTCACGTTATGGATTGGCCTGCAGCTGATATGGGTTACCATGCTCTGTCTTGTCCAGCTAGTCCAGATCTCCCGGAACCAGACCACGTATGAAAATATGCGGGGCCACACCCTAAACTATGCCAGCCCAGCGTCGCAAGCCATAGCATCCGCCATTACAACAGGAACCACTTCTGTAGATATGAGAGGCCTTTCTGCTACTGGTCAAGGACCGAACCCGGCAATGCTACCTACGACAACACCACCACATCGCCGGGCCCCTCTCCACCGGCATAGCCACGGTTGTTTAGCACAATGGAAAAAGCTGCTGGGGCTGGATACCTTCGTGGTCACTGCTCAGGATGGACTGGAGCGGCGTGGTGGGGGTCGGAATAGAAATCCGTTCTCCCGCGGTATTGTTACGAATTGCAAAGACTTTTGGTGCGACAGTGCGTCGTATTTTGGCAAGAGAGATACAGGGAGCGCGATGTTGGATGGCGAGGTTGTAAATTATAATAGCATGTTCGATATGCCGCTCATGACGAGCTCAAGGAGGAATCGGACCGGGTCCGGTATGGTGTATAGGAGTATTGCAGGGGGCGATGCTGTCTAGGCAGCCTTTGATGTCAACTGTTTGTTTAATGAATACCTAAGTTCGTCAACTACTTCATTACTTATTCTCCTTTGTATAACGCCTTTTTTCTTTTTTCTTTTTTCTTTTTTCTTTTTTTTTTCTTTCCCCCCCCCCAAGTTGTAAGTCATAACATGCATATATATAGAGATAGATAGATTGATATATCTCACCCTTTCTTTTCTATTTTGGTCTTTTGGGATGCTGGAGGATATGTGTAAATCTATATTTCTTTTGCTCGTTTGCTCGTGCATGGGCTCTCCTCTGTCCCTTCTTGATGCATGACGGGAAATTATCGTAAGAAAATGGGGGGCCCCGGCTGTGGGGGGCTCAATCTTCAAGTGTGGTCATGTTTGAAAAGCAAACGGAAACCCTCGCATGAATACGGTGTAAGTGACAAATGAGACCTCCGTTGTAGTTATATTACCACGGCTGGCCAAGGAACGGAGGACTGTACCTGTCTAACTAAGTACATAGAGTTCGACCGGCTTCGGCGCTGGCCATTGGGTGGGAAGTTTCGGATCAGTCAGTAGACAGGAGATAAGATTAGATCCGATCCGGCGCCGTTGACCTCAGCCAAAGGCCGTCGTCGTTAAGCCTTACGGTCCTCACCCGAGTCGAACGACGACCGTATCCACAGAAATATGGTGCAGCATCCACGGGCGAGTTTCAATCTTTCATGAAGCCCAATTGGGCACCGTTGTAAGTCCAACAAAAGGTTTTTTAATAAATAAAAATATGACAAAAAAAAAAAAAAAAAAAAAAAAAGAGCATATACCTAGGTACGTATAATGCCCACTGATGTTATTATCAGCTCACATGGATTTGTGACCTCGTCAAACCATTGATACCATCGGGTCCTGCAGTGATTCTAAATTTCAGGTGAGTGAGCCCCCATGCTTCTACGGGATATCCCCTTGTTTCGTCTGGAGAATCATATTCCTTGTTGTGCTGTTTTCACGCCCGTGACCGTGCCAAAGTTTTTACCACGCAATGAGGCTCCATCCTCGTCGTTTATTTAGATTTTAACTAGTGAATTTTGATGTTCTGGTGATATGTCGCAGGAATCACGCCTCCAGAGATCATCGACTGGGAGAAAACCGTGCAAAATATCCTATCTCTCAATTGTTATTATTTTTACTATTTTTATTGAAATTGAAAATACATCCGTTTCTCAAGATAGGAGGCTGGATATATAGTTCTCGCCTTTATTCTTGTTAAGTATAAGAACTCCCCGCGTTTGCCAAGGATTTGCCATCGAAAGTATAATTTCGGCACATATTTTCAATTTTATACCACTTCAACAACATTCCCTTTGTCCCAATAAATTCTCTGATATATGTTCTCTGATTCTTCAATGTTATATGCCAACCGACCATGCTCATTCAATAACAGTCCAGCACAATGAACACTGCTCCGGTGGAGAGGTACACCAGCTTCCCTGACCTCAACTACGGACAGGAAGAGTTGCCGAGTAGCTCATCTGTTGATTGGAAGGTTGATATCTGCCAGTTGACGGTGAACACGCTCATCCTTTCATGGGCTTCCCTGCTTAAATCCTTTACTGGCCATGAGAACCCCGTTTTTTGCTTTAACGGACAAGCAATTAAAGCAGATCTCGCTGCCAAGGATTTCCGGGCCATTGATCTGGAGGGAAATATACAGGGTCAATGGACATTTACAGGGATTTTTACCATTGATGCAAGATTTGCAACCACAATCCTCTCTCGTTTTTCAGATTACCATTTGCTGACTACTGCCTCAGGCAAAAATAACCCCCGCTGGATGCAATCTGGCCGTTATATATGATTCCGATCATTCCGCTGGGAAAATAATATCGACCCGATGCACCAGCACCCGTTATCTAACCCAGATTGGACGCCAATTGACAGAAATCATACATGAACAACATTTCGAATCGAAACCTGGAACTTGCCGATACGTTGATATAAGACCTGATTTGTCCATCCTGAACCCTAATCCAGAATTTCTCCCAGGACCCAGCCTGCTTCATGATCTCGTGCGATTGGAAGGATGCCAAAACGACTTAGCGATAGAATTTCTCAATAGCGATAGGAGGAGGAGTAGCCTGTCATTCGAATCACTTCATTTCTCTTCAACTAAATTGTCTCTACGGCTGGTCGCCGCTCTGGAATCTCTTCCAACTCCAAGCAAGCGAAATCCAGTCATACCACTGCTCTTGCCCCAGTCCGTCCACCTTTATGTTGCCTGGCTGGCTATCTTGAAAGCAGGAGCTTCTGTATGTCCTCTTAGTTTGGACACCCCACCTGAACGAGTAAATTTTATCGCGAACGATGTCTGTGCCGATGTTATCATAACCACACAGTCGTTGTCAAGCAGACTTGATCATCTCGACAGAACTATCCATATCATCACAGTGGATGATGGCGATCCGAATGTATTCAAGAGTGAAGAGGTCCAACTTCCTCAAGTGTATACGGATGACATCGCATATCTGGAATATACTTCTGGCTCTACTGGTCTCCCAAAAGGGGTTGCCGTTTCTCACCGTGCAGCTACCCAAGCATTACTTGCCCATGATAAATGGATCCCATCATTCAAGAGGTTCCTACAGTTCGCCTCTCCAACCTTTGACGTCTCGATATTTGAGATTTTTTTCCCCCTGTTCAGGGGCGCTACTCTTGTAGGGTGCGATAGAAATCTAATGTTGGGTAACCTCCCTGGAATCATAACGGAGTTAGATGTGGATGCTGCAGAGCTCACCCCAACTGTTACCAGAGAATTACTCCACAAACGAGCTGCTGCTCCGTGTTTAAAAGTTCTACTAACGATTGGTGAGATGTTAACTAGAGGCGTGGTTGATGAATTTGGGGGCTCTCCAGATAACGATGGCATCCTTTATGGGATGTATGGTCCGACTGAAGCTTCCATCCATTGCACTATTGCCCCGAAAGTTCTAGTAGACTCACGGGTTGGAAATATCGGCGTTCCACTTCAGACAGTCTCGGCTTTTATTATTTCATTAGAGACTCCCACTTTTTGTCCGGGAGATGGGCCCAAGATTCTTCCGATTGGACACGTTGGTGAGCTCGCAGTTGGTGGTCACCAACTTGCGGAATGTTATGTGAACCGCGATGAAGAAACCCGGAAGGCCTTTTTAGATACTACGCTATATGGAAGAATATATCGCACCGGTGATAAAGCTCGCTTGCATCCCTCCGGAGAATTGGAATGTCTAGGGAGAATCTCGGCCGGTCAGGTAAAACTCAGAGGACAACGCATTGAGCTTGGTGAGATCGAACGTGTAATCTACAAAGTGCCGGGCATTTGTAGTGCGGTAGTGAGTGTGTTAAAAGGTATATTGGTGGCATTTGTGTCGGTGGACAAAACATTTACAGGGATTCATGGCATAACTCGAATATGCCAAGACTGGTTACCGAAATTTATGGTGCCTGGAGATGTGGAAGTGCTGGATCACCTTCCTCGGCTCCCTTCAGGGAAAGTCGACAAGGCAACTCTGGAAAGCACCTATCTTGCGCGGAGATATTCCCAACACACTACGGCCACTGAGTTCGACGATGATATTCAACGAAGCGTAGCTTCATGTGTGGAAGGTGTTTTATATTCGAACGTCAGTAAGTCGGCTAGTCTAGCCGCTGCCGGCCTTGATTCTCTTAAAGCAATCAAACTCTCTTCCGTTTTACGAAATGCAGGAATAAATGTCGACGTTCTGGGGATTCTAGAAGCTGACTCCATTGAGGGAATATCATCCCTTTCCCGTCAACACGATGATGCTGAGGCTCCGGCAACAACCTTGGGGAATTTCGTGTCTGATGACTGGAAAGTCGTTGTGAACTCTGCATTAGATGACATAAAGACAAATGGTTACTCCGCCGATTACGTGGACATCGTTCCTTGCAGCCCTGTTCAAATCGCCATGCTCTCAGAAAGTATGAGGGATCCCAAGGCATACTTTAATTGGATAGAGTTACAATTCCACAGGGGGATCGGAATACTTGATATTAAGAATGCATTTTATGAGATTGCATCACAAAATGAGATCCTGAGGTCTGGTTTTATTCCAACTGATCACATTAGCAATCCCCATGTCCAGGTGATCTGGAGTAGAATGATGGAAGATCAGGTTCAGGAAGTATCCGAGTTGAGATATGACCAACACTTGAATATCGAATCTCGCTTACTACGCCCTTTGCGTATCGATTTCACTGAGAAAGATGGCTTAGTTCATGCGCTCGTCCATATCCATCACGCTCAATACGATGGATGGTCATGGGATCAGATTTTGAATGATATTGAAGATCTATTATCCTCGAGGACAATAAGACCGCGGCCGCAATATCGATTATTTACGGACTACTACCTGACTCGTATCAGCTCGGAGGACCGAGAAAGTGCGATCCACTATTGGCAAGACCAGCTGGAGGGCATCAAATCGAACCCTTGGCCAAACTTCCAGGATACATCTGATACCCTGTTTGGTCTTCGAACTGCCCAACGACTCCTAAAAGTTAACGTGGAAGAACTTGATGTCGCGGTACGAACCCTTCGTGTTAGTCGGCAGGCGATATTTCAGGCTGCGTTTGGTTATCTTCTCAGTGCATACAATGGGAATCATGACACTATTTTCGGATTTGTCTCCTCTGGACGCACCCGTCCTATAGACGATATCGAAAATATCATAGGACCTTGTGTGACAACAATCCCAATGAGATTTAACCTGGACAAATTGCGCACCGTTCGCGATCTCATTGGAGCAATCCATAACTTAAATCGAAAGTCCCTTAAATATGACTTCTTGCCCCTGTCTGATATAAAGCAGGCTTCTGGAATTGATCCTGGTGTCTCCCTATTTGATAGTCTGTTTGTTTGGCAGGAGACCATAAGTGAAGGGAAACCACATTCCCCGCTGGTTACACAAATCAAGACCGGAGATTTCCTTGAATTTACCATGACTCTTGAGCTTGAAATTCAGGGGGAGAATGTAGCTGCGAGAGCCAATTTTCAACAATCAATTCTTCCGGATAGCCAGGTTGATATTTTTCTCCACCAGATAGAACAGCTTGCGTTAATTTTTATCAATACCCCAGAGTTGCTTTTGAGAAATATTAACGACTACCTACCTAACTCTACGTTATCTATTGAGAATCTTAATTTTATGAAACAGTCCGACTTACCGGGCTTGGCGGATGGAGTGGAAAAAATTGCCAGCATAGATCCAGAAAGAGCGGCAATCGAGTTTCTGGACGCTTTTGATCCATATATAGGTACAACAAGCATAACAAAACTGACCTATGGTGGTCTGGACATCCGCTCGAATCAAATAGCTAATTACCTTCGCTCCTGTGGACTTTCGCCAAATGACCTCGTTTCTATGTTCCTGGAAAAATCCATCAATCTATACGTCGCCATCCTAGCAGTAATAAAGGCCGGTTGTGGTTATGTTCCGATCACGCCTCAAACCCCCGTTAACCGCGTTCACACAATTATAAATGAAGCGAAATGTTCGTTTTGCGTCACTGATTCCTCTCTGATATCCAAGTTACGGAATATAAGGACTACAGAGATTATAGCCATCGATAACATAAATTTTGATAACCTCCCAGGGAATCGACCTGAAGTCGAGGTTTCTGATTCGTCAGTTGCCTATTGCACTTTTACTTCAGGGAGCACGGGCAAACCAAAGGGAGTTCTCATCTCGCACCACAATTTGCAAAGCAATATTGCGGTGTTGTCAGAAATATACCCCAACCCGCCTCGTTCGAGATTACTGCAATCATGTTCTCATGCTTTTGATGGTTAGTTATTAGTCAGTGCCGCAGAGAACCTACTATTCTCACTAACATCTTGAAAGTTTCTGTTTTCGAGATATTCTATTCGTTGACCAGGGGTATGACGTTATGTTCAGCAATCAACGATGTTTTATTCCGAGATATAGAGCAAGCCATTCGTGCTATGAATGTTACTCACCTCAGCCTTACCCCGACTGTTGCGTCCCTTCTCAATCCCGACAATATTCCAAAAGTCAAATTTCTAGTTACTGCTGGGGAAGCAATGACGGAAAAGGTTTTTAAATCTTGGGCTGGGAGGGGGGTTTATCAAGGTAAATTTTAGTCTATCTCTGGTCATCCACAAGCTTCCCAGTTGCATGAATCAGTGTTTATCGATATGAATTCCTGAGTAGGTTACGGCCCAAGCGAAACCACGAATATTTGCACAGTGCAACCTGATCTGAAACCCACCGACTTGATCAACAACATTGGCCGGCCATTCAAAAACACCTCTGCATTTGTCATTTCAGGAGAGGAAGGCTTTACATTGCTACCCAGAGGTGCAGTTGGTGAATTTTGCTTTGGTGGTGAACAAGTGGTAAGTAATTATTTCTAATATATGTATTACGCTAACGGTTGAATAGGGGTGCGGATATCTCAACATGCCTGACCTCACAAGGAGTAAATTTATTTGCCATCCGCAATACGGGAGAATATACAGATCCGGTGACTTTGGACGCATGCTTTCTAATGGATCATTAGTATTTACTGGACGCAGGGATGATCAAGTTAAACTACGGGGCCAACGCATTGAACTTGGCGAGATTAATCGTGCTCTATTACAGGACCCGGAAGTTAGCGACTGCACAACATTGATTATCGGAGATGCGTTTAATGAAAAACAGCAGTTGATATCCTTCTGGGTGCCGGCATTGCAACATGGGAGCAACTTTTCAACTTTTGAAGATCGATCTAAAATACTTCGACTGTTTGACCACATTGGAACCATACTTCCAGGCTATATGGTTCCATCCATGCTTATCCCGATTCAAGCCATACCGATGACGACATCTGGAAAAACCGATAAGGATGGGTTGCTCAAACATTTCCAGGGTTTAGACCCAGAAGCTCTGCACCTGTCGTCCTCTGAAGTTGAAGCGCTCAGCGATAAAGGAATATTTTCACATGTTGAGATGAAAGTCGCGGAAGCCGTGGCTAAAGTCACTCAAACCCCATTAACAGATATCGCGCTTCACACCTCGTTTTATAGCCTCGGGCTTGATTCTATCTCGGCGATAACTTTGTCGAGAAATTTAAAAGTAAATGGGTTTGGACAGGTAGATGTTTCAACTATAATGAAACACAACACCGTATATCGGCTTTCGAAGAAGTACCTCGAGTGCAATAACCAACTAAGGAAGAAAAAGAGCACACCAAATATCCATGAACTATTTTCCGCTGAGTTTAAGGAACGAGTACGAAAGGGTGCCGAAATGTTTGGAGGCCAAATTCGAAAAATATTGCCATGTACGCCGTTGCAAGAAGCGATGCTTATGCGAAGAAGCACCGACAAGTACATGGCTTACTATAACAGGCTCCTTTTCGAGGTTAGAGATGTTGCCAAACTAAAACACGCTTGGGACACAATGGTTCGGAGGCACGATATTCTTCGGTCGTATTTCACCTCTACAGACGATGCTCGGTTTTCCTTTGCTCAGATTGTTTTGGAATCCATTGATCTTCCATGGAAGGAACTTATTACAACAACCGACAAACTTCATGATCGTATTGAGGATGAGGAGCTTGAACTCACGAACAGCAAGGAAAATATCGTACCTTATTCATTTGTGGTATTTCGAATCGCTAATGAAGGTAATAAAATGCTACTTATGTTTCTAATCCATCACGCTTTGTATGATGCGGAGGCCATGGCGCAGCTTCTGTGTGAAGTCGAGCATGTTTCGTTTGGAATAGACCTACCACCGGTCATTCCTTTCGATTTATACCTCGAGCAAATGGTTAGCATGGATATAGAAGAAACTGACCGATTCTGGAATTCCCATCTCTCTGATTTATCGCCGTCTCATCTGCTTAACCTTCAACCTCGCACTGATACCGACGGATTACGGAAATTTCGATCTGTCGAGACTGGTTTCAATATATCTCTTAGCAAGGTTGTGGAAACATGTAAAAACATGTCAATCACTCTCCTCAGTTTAGTACAAGCGGCATGGGCGAAGCTATTGTTTTGCTATACCGAAACATCTGATATTTGCTTCGGAAACGTATTTAATTGTCGAAGCATCCCTGTTGATGGAGCTGAGCACATCATTGGTCCATGTCTCAACACTCTTCCGATACGAATTAAAGCGCATGCAAACACAGTGAACCTAGATCTTGCCAAGATCTTACAGCAATATAATGCAGATGTGATGCCTTATCAGTTAACTTCTCTTCGTCGTTTACAATCTCAATTTGGCAGAACAACGTCTCTACTTTTCGATACTTTGGTTCTTCTACAAAGTTGTCCTCGCCCGTTAAATGATAAGTTATGGAGTCCGGTTGAAGAAAAAGGAGATATGGATATACCCCTTGTGTCAGAGGTCATTCCTGACAACGAATTTGATGTATTGTGTATAATTTTACATTACGATGATTCGTATTTCGTTCCAAAAGATATGGATATTATGCTTGGTGGTTTCATGGAGCTTATTCATCATATTCTTTTCTACCCATTTGGCAGAGCTATGGATTCAAGTGTTGTTCGGCTTGGTCTTCCATCGTTTATACATGAACACCGCCGGCGTCTAACGGATGCTGTTGGAGATGCTAATGGGACCATCTTTAGCAAGGACGTGGGACTGAATTCAGCTTCTGAGACATTGGCTTCCGAAATCCGACAAGTTCAAAAAGTGCTATCGAATTTATCAAAAATTGAGCTGGCGTACATTAAGCCTCACACCACAATATTCCAATTGGGTCTTGATAGTATAAACGCCGTTCAAATTTCTGGCCAATTTAAGGCCCTCGGACACGACATATCCGTGAACGATATTCTTGAGGTAAGTTTCTTTCAGCCCCTTGTTCTTAAAAATTGGCTAACGGGTATTTAGAACCCTTCTGTGAGCGAACTCGCGTCACTCTTCTCCCGACAGAAAGGTAATGGCGATAAAGGTATTGTATCCTTCGACTTTGAGTCGTTTAGACACCGCCACTGGTTGCCCGTTTGCCATAAACTAGGGTTACCAGAGACATGCTTAGAGTCAATTCGTCCGTGTACCCCTGTACAATCAGGGATGTTGGCTCTGTTTACCCAGTCTGAAGGCAGGCTGTACTTTAATCACCTGGTACTTGAATCAACTGTTCTTCTAGATGCCCAAACTCTCCAGAAAGCATGGAATACCTTAACTGAAAAGCATGAGATTCTCAGAGCAGGTTTTGTCCATGTGGATGACGATGAATTTCCATTCGCAATGATTACTTTTAAAAGAGGGGCATTTCAGCTTCCATGGGCTGAAAGGGCAGAGCTGGCAATTCATGGAAATGAACGATTCTCGGACAGGCAGCGAATTTCAAAAAATGCCTTTTCACAACTTCATCGACCGCCATGGCAGGTATCTTTCCAGCAAAGTGGATCACATCTGTTAATCCAATTCTCGGCTCTACACTCTCTGTACGATGCACACTCTCTAAGGTTGCTACTTTCGGATCTTTCTGGATTACTTAGGGGAGAGGCATTGGCTCCAGCAATTCCGATTTTACCAATTCAGAGTTCTATTATATCTGCAAGTATCCAGGCGTGTAAGGATTTGAAATGTGAAACGTTTTGGAAAGAATTAGGAAACGATCTACGTGCTACGAAATTCCCTGATATGAATCCTCTATATCAGAAGAAGGAAATAAATGTGTTAGCTAGGAAATGCTCTGAATCTCTCAAGTCTCTGCAGGAAGGTTGCAGAGTGGCGGGCGTCACCCTTCACGCTGCTGGACAAGCATCTTGGGCTCGAATACTTTCATCTTACACAGGAGAGAGTAGAGTTACATGTGGACTAGTGCTTTCTGGAAGAAACACAATCGAAGGAGCGGAGAGAGCAGTGTTCCCGTGTCTTACTACTGTCCCTTCATCATATAGTATCGAGGGTTCTAATGGGGATCTGCTAAAGCGCATTATGAAATTAGATGCGTCGTTAGTGAAATACCAATTTACCCCCTTGTCAAAGATTCGCCAATGGGCAGGATCAGGATCGTCCCTTTTTGATACAATATTTGTGTTTCAAAAGCATCTGGCAACAACCACGAACGAAAATTGGAAAGTTTACAACGAAGAAGCTAGAACTGATGTAGGGATATATCCCAGCTTGGTTTAGTTGAATATTTGCTAACCTAAGAAATAGTATCCAATATCCATCGAACTAATACCAGTGGGAGGGACGCTCGAGTTCCAACTGACTTTCGAGACTGACATTTTACCTAAAGGACAAGCCGATATTCTCTTAAGACAGTTGGATGGTCTTTTGATTGATACTATCTTCTATCCCGATTCACCTTGCACATATTTCACAGTCCTGGAGAGCAAAGATCTTCTATCGGCTATTCCGGCGAAGGAACCTAAAATCCCGTCTCCCGTTAAGTTGGTGCACCAGTTTGTCGAATTTCAGGCTCGAGATTTCCCGTTAAAAATTGCTCTTGAATTTGCTTCTAGAGTCCCTGGTAACGATAAGCTTGTTAAACAAAAGTGGACATACAAGGGGTTCAACAACAACAGTAATAGATACGCCAACCTCCTGCAAAGGAACGGAGCTTTTCGGGGAGATTTGATTGGTATTTGCTTCGATAAGTGCCCCGAAGCTTATTTTGCTATCTTAGCCATTTTAAAAATTGGCTGCGCCTATGTCGCTCTCGATCCGGGGGCTCCTGTGGCTCGGAAGAAGTTCATTTTCGACGATTCGGGTGCCAAGTTGTTGCTTTCCACATCGGATAAGAAAAATGAGTTGGAGGGACTGCCAGTTATGATTTTGGATGCTCCTGGTATTCTAGATGGCATTCCATCACATCCTCCTATATTAGAGGAGGAGATACGACCGCAAGACAGTTGCTACTGCCTGTACACATCTGGAACAACGGGGACTCCGAAAGGCTGCGAGATTACACATGAAAATGTTATCCAGGCGATGCTGTCGTTCCAGAGATTATTCAACGGTCACTGGGATCAGACGTCCCGGTGGTTGCAGTTTGCCTCCTTCCATTTCGATGTCAGTGTTTTGGAGCAATACTGGAGTTGGAGTGTTGGAATATGCGTCACCTCCTGCCCCAGGGACACATTATTTGAAGATTTAGCGGGTACTATTCGAGACCTTGAGATCACCCATATCGACCTGACACCCAGTTTGGCGCGGTTGCTTAGTCCGAAGGATGTTCCCTCGCTCTGTAGGGGGGTTTTTATCACAGGTGGAGAGCAGCTAAAACAGGAAATTCTTGAAGCCTGGGGGGAGTACAGAGTGATATATAATGGATACGGCCCTACGGAGGTAACTATCGGATGCACAATGTTTCCTCGAGTGCCACGAAATGGCAAACCGTCAAATATTGGTCCTCAATTTGATAATGTTGGTAGTTTTGTGTTCAAGCCGGGAACTACACTACCAGTCCTGCGGGGCGGGGTAGGGGAACTTTGCGTCTCAGGAGCACTTGTAGGTCGTGGGTATCTCAATAGACCTGCGTTGACGCAACAAAAGTTTCAATATGTTGACAAATTAGGCGAACGGGTCTATCGTACTGGAGATCTTGTCCGTCTCCTCCATGACGGAAGCTTTTGCTTTCTTGGACGCATTGATGACCAGGTCAAGCTACGTGGCCAGCGCCTTGAAATAGGAGAGATCAATCAAGTTATTTCGGATTCCGCCGCGGAGGTGGGAGAAGTAGTAACCATGGTTCTCAAGCATTCAAGCCAATCCCAAGAGCAGCTTATATCATTTTTCGCCACGACTGCGTCGAAACGACACGGCAAACCGACCTCGCGAATCGATTTCGACTCCAGAATGGATACTATTCTTGCCAAGATACATCAGGCATGCCATAAAACGCTTCCAGGATATATGATTCCCACACATATCATACCAGTTACAGTTTTACCTCTAAATGCGAATAATAAAATAGACCAGCGGGAGCTAAAAGTATTATATGACAATATGACGCTTGAAGAGATGCAGCGGTTATCTTCTCGGTCTTGGAACCATTTCCAGATCATCTCTAAAGATACAAATATGATAATGGCTCTCGCATCCAAAATGACGGGAGTCAACCTTTCCACAATCTCGCCATGGTCGAGCATATTTGAACTTGGACTAGACTCCATTTCTGCCATCGCCTTCTCAAGGCTCTTGAGAGACTCCGGATTTGAGTCAGCTCAACCATCTGTGTTAATGAAATGTCCGTAACTTCAAACTGAACGCACCTTTTCAATTCTATGCTTTCACTAACACAAACTATAGATCCTACTTTCATAGCACTCGCTGATGCCCTAGGCCGCACAGAAGAAGATAACTCTGCTCAAAGAACGCAGTATCAGGAATCCAAACAACGGATTGCAGCCTTCGCCCATAGAAATCTTGCACCAGTTGCACAAAAGCTCAAGATTCCATTATCATCCATTGAAGGGGTGATCCCATGCACGCCGCTACAAGAAGGAATGATATATCGATATCTGGAGAGCCAAAAACCTTTATACTTCACAAGCTTCAATTTTGAGCTGGCGACGACTGTCAATATCTCTCGCCTAAAATCTGCGTGGCTCAGCGCTCAGCGTGCTCTGCAGATACTCCGCACAAAATTTCCACTAGCCGCTGGATGCTATTGCCAAGCCATCCTCAAAGAAGATGATTTCCCGTGGTTTGAATTGGTCGTCTCGAATGACATTGAAGTTGAGGATATTTCGAACAGTCAATACAAGAAGTGGTGTAGCGAGCCCTCCAACCTTACTGGAAGGGTTTGGGAGGTTGGTATAGTGATAGGGCCGACAAGGAGATGGATGTGCTTGAACATTTTTCACGGGTTATACGATGGGAACTCTCTACCTCTTTTGCTAAATCTGGTTTCGCAAGCATATGTCAACAACAATAATATACCGGAAACGCCATCCTATCTTGAATGTTTGATTAAAGGCCCTTTCTGCAAAACACCTGGAGCGAAGGAATTCTGGCTTAGACATCTCAATGGATCTCCAAAGCCCTTACCATTTACAATTGGAGCACAAGGAGATTATTCGATAGTTGCGACCCTGGAGATTGGAAGTGAGGGAAATCTTGAGACTTTAAGACGAAAGCTAGATGTGTTGGAGCAGGCAGTGTTCTTAGGCTGTTGGCTGCGTGTCTTGGAAAGCCATGTCGGCTTTGTACCAGTCGTGGGTATTGTCGTATCAGGAAGAGCACTTGATATGAAGGGTGCTGAATACATCATTGGACCGCTATTCAATACTCTTCCCTTCAGCGTTTCAGACTCAAGTAATATTTCCATGGCTGATTTGGTACGATCCTGTCACGCATATTATGTTTCCACGCTCCAGTATCAACACACTTCTCTTAGGGAGATTATGAAATGGGTACCGCAACGAGGAGGAACGCCACTGTTTGACAATCTGTTCGTATTCCAACGAGAACCCGGCAAATCCCTTGGTTCGGCAGACTCACTGTGGACCTTAAAAGCTTCTCAGGCGGGATCAGACTATCCAGTGGCTTTCGAGGTACAACGGAACCATGATGGCTCTCTTGCAATAACACTTGTTGCACAGGCTGGTATTCTTACCGTTGAAACTGCACAGCAACTCACCTTGCAGTTCCGTGATGTACTGGTTAACTTCCTGGATGATCCGTCAAGCAGGGTATATCCTGCTGCCCGCGGATCCGATCTCGCTAAGAACATAACTGTCGATAGTGGTGATAATGTCGAACCAGTCACTGTTGGATACAGCTCAGATAGCTCGCTCTCTCCCTTCGAATGGACGTTTATGGCGTCTCGCCTTCGTGAAGAGATTGCTTCACTTGCCAATGTTGATGTTCTCACTATTCAGGAGACCACTTCTATCTTTGAAGTTGGACTGGACAGCATTGACGCCATCAAACTGTCTTCCTGTCTAACAAAAGCTGGGATGAGATTTTCGGTTACTTCAATTATGCGTGGACGAACTATTAAAAACATCATGTATCTTGCAGAATCTAGCGATCAGAACGGAATAGAGGAACTCCAAACATCGTTAGAAACCCTGGAATCAGAACTTCGCCATTATTTTGAAAAAGATGAATGGGATCTAGCTGGTATCGAAAGAATCCTGCCGGCATCGCCTCTCCAAGAAGCAATGGTCGCAGAAATGGTCGTTTCTGATTTTAAACGCTACTTTAATCATGACCTGCTTGAAATCAAGGATAATGTGGATATCGATATACTAAAAAGGGCTTGGCAGAAGATCGTCGACCTCAACCCAATCTTAAGGACTTCTTTCGTTGAGGTTTCTAACCCAAGGTTTCCGTTTACTTATGCTCAATTAGTCCATGCTCCTGGGATTCCAATAAACTGGAGCGTGATCGATATCGCTGGAAGATCGCTTGATACTTTGTTAGAAGCGCAACGGCAAGAAGCAATTGCTTTGGGTTCCGCGAAGCGACCCCTACTGAAGATCCAAGTGCTGAGCTCGGCAAACTCAGGGGGCAAAAGGCTAATGTTCCTCTCTATGCCACATGCTATGTACGATGGTTGGTCATTAGATCTTCTCCATAGGGATATCGCGACCTATTACTCTGGTCAAAGCCCAAATATTAGGGAATCGTGCGATAAAGTTCTAGGCCGTATTTTGAACTCGACCAGCGAGCTGGGCTTACAATTCTGGAAAGGAGCTCTTAGTGGAGTTCGTCCATCTGCTTTCCCGAAGCAGATGGATGCAGGAAAAGATGGGTCAAAGGTCCATCGGAAGGAGAAGGTTCTGAGTATTTCGCGACTGGGTGTCATCTCATTTTGCAAGGCGCAAGGTGTCACGCTTCAAGCACTCGGATTGACATGTTGGGCTCTTGTACTCGCTGGCTACTTGAGAAAATTGGATGTCGTTTTCGGCACGGTCCTGGCGGGAAGAGATATCCAAGACGCCAATGCGGAGCAAATAATGTTTCCGCTGATGAATTCAGTGGCTGTCCGTATCGTCTTGCACGGTAGCCGGTCAGACATGCTGAGATATGTTCAGGACACATTAGTTTCTATCTCTGAGTATCAGCACATCCCTTTGCGAACTGCAAAGCAAGCATTAGGTTTCGGAAGTCAAATTTTGTTTGATACCCTATTCATCTTTCAGAAAAGACCAGCTCGAGATATGAGCTTGCAAGAGCCGTTGTACAAGTCTGTTGGAGGGCATGCTGATGTTGAGTATCCGGTATGCATTGAAATGGAAGAAATTAGTGATTCCATACTGTGGCGTGTTGCTTGTAGGGATACCGTGCTGGGGGAGCCAGATGTCTCCAAGCTCCTCGATAGGGTCAATTTTGTGTTTGACAGCATCTTCAGACACCCTGACAGTAGAACAATCGATTTCAACGATGACGGCATGTCGATCGTTCAGTGTCCTGTATTTCAAGAGCAGGATGATTGCGAAGACAAAGATTTTAATAATACCAAGCAAGCTGACATGGAATTCTCTCCTCTAGAACAGGAAGTTCGACTGGTCCTGTCTTCAGTATCAAATATCCCAATTGAGGAAATCACTAGAGATACAACACTTTTCCATCTTGGTTTGGACAGCATCAGCGCCATCAAAGTAGCTGCGCTGTTGAAGAGGAAAAATATTATACTTTCTGTAAGTGATATGTTGAGATCCGGAACGATTCCCCGCATGGCGCGTGTGGCCAGGCCAAACGAAGATGATTATCCCCTAGAAGGCCACTCTGCAGTTCTGGGGATGACACTGGAAGAAGTAAATACACCAGCGCTTCTGCAAACCCAAGGGCTTAACCCTGACAACATCGAAAAAGTTATGTTGGCCACCGCGGGACAGGTATATATGCTAAATGTGCACGTCAACTCGAACGGGCAACTTTTCTATCCTTGCTTTTTCTACCGGGCCGAAGGAGCGGCGATAGCAAAGGACGCACTCGAGATAGCCTGGGCGAGTTTAATTGAAAAGCTTCCGATCCTACGAACGCAGTTCATACGTACAGGGAAGCGGTCTCTACCTTATCTACAAGTAGTGCTTAAGGATGTGGTCAATCCCATCGTATGGCAGAAAGATTTGAAAGCTCAGAAAATCAGACATCTCGGCATCCATTCTGGCAACCGAGTACCAGTGACACTGTATGCTTCACAATGCCTCGGGGAAACGATATTGATGCTCCATATCCATCATGCCCTGTACGATGCTATCAGTCTGCCCCGAATGATCAATCTGCTTGCGGCCTTTTGCGCCAGCCCAAACACAAACCGTCAAGTCTCCTGTAAAGTTGACATCTCAGAGCTGATAGTCTATCAGCACATCAAATCCCCAATACAGATGCGGGAAAAGTTTTGGAGAAAATATCTCACTCCCGACATCGATATGGAGCAACAGCGAATACCACCTCCGAATCTCAACCCACCCATGAACGTAGATATGATACAAATCTATCGCAAATCCTTGGTGAAAGACATCAACAAGCTCGAGAAACTCGGACGTGTTCATGGCGTCAGTGCGCAAGCGTTGTTTTTGGCCGTCTATGCCAAAGTCCACGCATCCAACATCATACCATCAAGCCTTAACACCATTAAAATACCTAGAAATCTGGTCATCGGTGTCTACCTGGCCAATCGCTCACATTCCCTCGACGGCCTTCCACAGCTAATTGCACCGACGCTCAACATTGTTCCCCTGCGCATTTCTATTGAGGGAGATGGGAAATGGCCAATATTCGACATGGCCCAAACCATACAACGCGACTTGCATGAGGTTGGCCGGGTGGAGAATTCGTGTGTGTCATTGATCGAGATTTCAGATTGGACTGGGGTGAGAGTGGATACGTTTGTGAATTTTATTAAGCTACCCGATACAACAGAAATGATAGAAGGCCATGGAGGAAGCGGTTCTTCGGCATTTACAGAAAGGGCAGTTCAGTTCTCCCCGTTGGAGGAAGGGAAGGTTGATGACAATAGTTGTGATTATTGTTATGGCGACGGTGGTGGCGACACTGATGCAGTTTTGGAGAATGGCGATGAAGAACAAAGGCTTACTGGCATTCCGAGACCCAATGGAAATAAAAACTGTGGGAATCATCATGACAACAAGCTAGGGGGATATGACGAACATCCAGTGTCGAATGGCACATATCCGGATATTTTCATGGTGAGTACAATCCGGATACACTCCCTTTTCACATTTGAAGACGATTTTATTTTTATTTATTTATTTATTTATTTTCACTTCCGGGAGGTTCTGTCGCTAATCGTATGTTGCCAAACAGTCGGGTATCGACGTGGAAGCTGCGATTAGAGATAATGCACTGGATGTTGGGATATTTAGCGGAAGTGATCGAATCAGTAGGGCTGACGCAGGCCATGTGCTTGATGAATTACGACGGGAGATACTTGAAATAATGACGTAGCAAAAGTTTTGCTTCCTGCTTTTTGGGCATGTTATATATTCATTTTGTTAGTTGCATTTTTCCTTTTCAGCTTGATGTCAGGGTATTCGAAACCCCGAGAGACTGTATATAGAGCATCTGAATAGAGCAGAAAAGTTGACTGGCTAAAAGGGGAGAGCCAGACATAGAGGTGCCATGGTTTTGTTTTCTTTCCCTCGTTTTCAGGAGTTTATTTGTCTTGTTCCATTTTCTTCAAATGAAACCGAGGGAATATCAGCTAAATTTAAACCAAACCCTGGAAGCGATGCGGGTAAACACATCCACATATAACGTGCATACATGCAGACTCCATCTCCATCCTTGCTTTAAAATTGAGGTAGTATCAACAGACTGCAAAGACCCGCGAGAAGGCTTTTTGGCTTCTCTTTGATTGAAACTCCTTCCTTCATAGAAGACCAGAGAAACACAAGTGGATGATGATGATGATGATGATGATGATGATGATGATGATGATGATGATGATGATGATGCATGGTGGATGTAGCTGCCCCTGTGAGCAACCTTGGAAACGGTGGAAATCCAGGTCGCGTGGGACGTGTGGCATGCAGGGCTTTGTGAAATGTAACAAATGTCAACTGCATGGTCAAGCGCTAGTTAACGAAGCCTAGCCCCACTTTGCTGGTTTTATTTGTGCAATTTTTCGGCTTCAGCGTTCGTCAGCGCGTTTGTATTTGACGAGGGCCAACTTGAGTTGGGAAACTGGAGAACAAAGGGTTCTAAATTGTATGGGAGGTTGGGGTGGGTGTTTTCGACGAGTGTGAAAGAAGTACAGATTCCGTCCCAGACTTTCGGAGGGTATTTGCAGCACATGGAGTTCATGCAGCATCGAGACTGGAGGACCGTTTGAAGATGGACGTTGTAGGTCGCACGGGATATGTAAAACGGAGAGCAAAAGCGGCGCAGACGACGACAACAACCAAAACTTGCGATATAGGGACCAAAAAGGCCAATCAGAAAATAAACAAGGAAAGATAACAGAAGAGGACTGTCCTTTTTCCTCATCCACATGGAAATTGGCAAGTCCTGTGCGATGGGACTTCTGTAGCCGTCGATATAGGGATATCAGGGGGACATCAGATGAGTTGTGAATGGAAATATTGAGCATCCAACCAGCAATGGTTTGAAATAGCTACCCCCCTAGGTAGTTAGTGAACTCGTAACACCCTTCTGTGCGAGTTGGCGGCAGCTCGACTGGCAATCAGAGGGTGAGAAAATGGAGGTTTCCCTCCTCCCTTTTCCTGGATTCTGTTCCCCAGCCCCTGCGCATGCATTTCCAGTATAATTGGCTGGCAAAGGACTCGAGTACATGGTCACATCCAAACCAATACCGGGCAGCACTAAGACAGGCAGGTAGTATTACAGCATATCGGATGTTGGTTGGAATGAGGAGCGCGAAGAAGGGATTGTTGTTGTGTGTTGCCATGATAATATACGGAGATTGGGAAGTTTCCCTTCCCGCATTTACCGAGACGAACGGACCGCCCGGGGGGTACGTGCCAGGTACCTCGTGCGCTGTTTCCCCCGGCTTATCTCATTGCGTACCCCTCAGGTCCCAGCGATGCCAACGCCACGCCCGCCGTGGTTCGAGCCGTGCGCTAGTCCGAAAGTGGCCTGCCAAGCCCGGCTAGCCGTTCTGGGAAATCAACAACAACGCGCTGCAGTCGCGTTCGGAGAGAGAAGGAGCAAGGTGAGGCGCAATTTCAGCGACTTTCTCCTCCTCTTCCTCCTCCTCCTCCTCCTCCTCACCTTTTACAACTAACATCCTCACAACCTACAGGCTCCATCCCGCACCCTACACCGTCTCCCATCTGAAAACCTGCGCAGACAGGCGCTGCGGCTGGCGTGTCTTGTCACGTCCATTCCGTCCGTCCTTTGATACATTCTCTTACAGGTCCCACTTCCCAGTCAAAACTCCTGCGTGGTTAGGGCTCCACTCCCCCTTCGCCCGCCGCACGCCGCGCACCGTAGCGCTCCGGTCTGCTGCCTCTTTCTGTGGCTTTCTTTTTCTTCTGCCCTCGAAAACACCATCCATCGATCGCATAACCTCCGCGACCTTCGAGTCAGACCCATCAATCCCATCTGAAGTTTCTCTATACTCCCACCTCGAGCGTCGCGCGTAACCCCTCTTAACGTTTCTTTTCCCTCTTCGCGCGTGTCTCTCCTCCTCCTATCTTATCGGTTGCCTCTCCTCCTGTCCAACCATTTTTCTGTCTTGAGCAACGTCCCTTCACGCGCCTGTCCTCCTGTGTGTCCTTTTGCCGCTTGCTATACCCATCTTTCAAGCTTCTGTGTTCTTTTTCCTTCTTTTCTTTTTTAATTTTTTGTTTTTTGTTTTTTGGTGTCAGCTTTGTCGGACGCCGTCATATTTGTTACAAGAGAGGAACGGGGGAATACTTATCAGCCACGGCACGAATGGAGGTGCCAACCGGTGCGAACTTGTCGCGAATGCTGTGATCTCGTCTTCCCCAGGTTTTCCCATCTTCGATCGAACCTTTGAAACATTTTCCCCTTGTTTCATGTTTGATCGCCGGATGTTGCGACGTGATTTGACCTATTCTTAGCGGTGAATTACACGGAAAACCCCCAAACGACATCGACATCGAGTCACATACTTTGTCCACAGCCCTTTGCCACAATCCCGCGCTTTTTCTGACGACATTTCCCGCTCATTTCCCGGTGCGATACCCGGTCTTTTCCACATATCAAAACGGTTGCTTATCATAACTCCATTAAAACCATACATATATTATCCCTGTTGTCGGGCATAATAAACTACTAACACTCATCCCTATTACTTGCTGGCAGGATATTGTGTTTGTTTTCATTGATATCTTCCGTTCTGTGTTTGCCATTTCCTACAAACCTTTCACACTTCCCGATCCTTCAAACTTTCCGGATCATATTGCGGATTTAGTGTCCGCTGGTCATAATGGTTGCTTCATTCTCACCACACCGTGAGGCCGGTGGTACTCTCCATCTTCCTTCGCCAAATGGTATTCACCATGTCACCCCCAGTTCTGCCATCAAACAGCTACGACGCTCACTCTCCAGATCCCCCTCCAAAAACAGCGATTTCCGTCTTCTCTCTCGACCTCACTCGCCATCCACCAAAAATACACATTACATCTCGTCCCCGCTCTCTCCCTCTCGTCGCGTGTCTCAGGGAAATCTCTTCCTAGTTCCTGTCACTTCTACGCCTTCACCTTTAGCGATCCCATATCCGCCCAGCGCAAGAATTACAAGACCCGGAATCCGTCGAACGGGGAGCTTTCAACCTACTAGGACTCGTACTACGCCAACCAGTCCCGTGAAGCGCATCCTGAGCGACTCTCGTGATAACGGAAATGTTCTCCTACCCAAATCGATCGGGGAAAAAGGCGCTGATGAACAAACCCATCTACAGCGTTCACCTATACCGATCAGCAGAAGCCCTGAACTTGGCCCCGGCGAGAACATGACTAACCAAACTTCAGATAACACCCTGATGCAGATGCCGTCTTCAAGAATCGAAAAACGACGGAGCGGCACGTTTGGGTCATTCACGTCAACTTCCAGCCCCTTAAAACGGAGCGACGTCATTAAGAGTCTTGAGCACACTCCTCTGGGAAGTCCTTCGGCCAAACGACGAAGTCTGCATGGCGCCAGTTGTGGTCAGGAGTTAAACTTTTTCGATGGTGAACATAACATGGGATCAACAACAACGGCGGATAAACCCGACAATGATACACCCGTCTCCAGTTTCGTTCAAACATCATGCAATTTTTCGGTGATACCGAAACGTTCGTCATCCCTCAGGAAATCTACTCTCCAGCAACGCCAGTCAGAGCGATCTCTGTTCTCTCGCGCCAAAGTTGGTGGTGAGAATGAGGCTGAATCTCGTCCAAATAGCCCAATGGCTCTTCGCAATCGTCAACGAACGTCTGTGGACAGCCAATTATTTCTTCCGGCATCTCACGACGGATCCTCCGGACCTGCATCTCAGGGTGTTGGTTCCCCCAGGCCACTTTTCACCTTACATCGTACAAACAGTCAACCAATTAACAATCCACAAGCTGCCCATCCGCTCTCAAGAACGCTTACTCAGTCATCATCTGACTCTAGCCTTGTTGACGATTCGCCGACTCATGAATCAATCAATAAGTTCGAACACCCGAGACCCATTCTAAATTTCTCGAAGTCACTTCCAGCTGGTTCGACCAGACCAATTGGGCCTAGTCAGCTTCGTCAGGAGAGCTCAACTTCATCTATGGAATCGTTCGCGACGCCTGAAAACTATAAACTTGTGAAACCCCTCCCCGCAGCGTTTTTGTCTACAGGCCTCATCTCGAAGAAGAATCGGAATATAGACGATGTGCATAATGCATCCATTACCAGCCAAAATATGCCCGACACACCGTGCAAACGGTCACTCAATATGTTCCCAGGTGTGCATAAGCCATTGCCCCAGAGAACAACCGAGAAGGCGAGTTCTAATCGGCATTCATCAGTAACCCCTTGGACCCCCTTTAGCCAACAGGAGCACACAGCAACCCCTAACCCCGGCCCGTTTTCCAAAGGAATGGGTATATTTGGCAGTTCTTATGGCAGACCTCCACTCTCACGCCGCGGGAGCTTCGCCAGCGTGGATGGAGATGAAATTCCCCAGTCCCAGTCTCCGTCTAGAAATCATGATACCCAATATACTATCGACTCCGACCTCCCCCCTACCCCAACAAAGCAAAAATTCTTCCCCCATGGCAGCCATTTCTCTAAAACCCGACCGCACCGCCCGACCCATAGTCAAACACCCTCATTTGACTCATTATCTGGCCCCTCTGGACCGTGCTGTAAGTTGTCTTTCGTTGAACATTCATCACCCACTATGAATGAAGAGAATGACAGCGATATGGATGACTCCCCTTCTGCTGGTGTGGCCCATAATTTCAAACAGCGCCAGTTTCCTGTTATCTCTTCTATCCCAAGATCTCACCTTGTGCAGAATCTTAATTCACCCTCTCCACACCCGAGGCCGTCATTTCCTACGCTGTCTCCTATCAAATGTCCTCAGTTTAGAAATGCTAAATTTAATCCCACCTTAACAGCAAGCCCACTCGGCAACAAATCATTACGACGAGACTCCCCCCATACTCCACAAGATAATATTATTCCCCCGGATCCCAGTGGATTGTCAATATCAGCTCAAGGAGACCAGCGCGCAAACCCTCATGATCTCCACTCGTCCGCGCTGCCAGCAACACCAACCGCTCCTCGAGAGTACTTCGCTCAATTGGGTAAATGGCAAAGCCTTTCCTTGGGGCCCTACAACGCGCCAGAGGTGGACCCAACCCTCACTTCTCGTTTTGAGAAAGTTGAATTAGTTGGGACAGGCGAATTCTCTCAGGTCTACCGCGTTACCGAGAAACAGTCAACGACGCCGTTTGGGTCCCCATTCCCGCAATCATCTTTCTCACAGGCCTCTGAGAAGCTGGTCCGATCAGCCTCTCGCGCTGAGCGCGTGTGGGCGGTGAAAAAGTCCAAGCAGCCCTATACAGGCCCAAAAGATCGCGAGCGTCGGAATCACGAAGTTGTTGCCTTGAAAGCGTTGGCTGGCTGTGATTATATCATTTCTTACGCAGACAGCTGGGAGGCCAACAATTTCCTTTATATCCAGACGGAATTTTGCGAGGAGGGAAGCCTTGACGTATTCCTTGCACAGGTTGGGCTAAAGGCCAGACTTGACGACTTTAGGATTTGGAAAATATTGCTTGAAACTATCGTTGGTAAGCAAATATCATCAATGTTCCTTTTTCTTCTGTAAGTCTATATGCTGACTCCTTGCGCAACTAGGGCTTGAAAACATACCCATGATTCTGGCTTCATTCATTTAGATTTGAAACCGGCAAACATTTTAATCACCTTCGAAGGTGTCCTCAAGATCGCAGATTTTGGGATGGCAAGTCATTGGCCAGCTGCTGCAGGCATTGAAGGAGAAGGGGATCGCGAATATATTGGCCCTGAAGTCCTCATGGGGAATTACGACAAGCCTGCTGATATATTTGCTTTGGGATTGATTGTGTTCGAAACGGCAGGCAACGTCGAACTTCCTGACAACGGCGCATCGTGGCAGAAGTTGAGGAATGGCGATATAAGCGATGTTCCCAGTTTAACGTGGAGCCTTGAAACCAGCAATGTTCTGCGGGATGCCTCTGGCAATCCACTCCCTGAAGAACGCTCCTTCGAACAATTATGTTCCCCCATCTCTGATGATCAGCAGTTTGGCGACCCATCATTTGCCGTGCTACACGATGGCAATGGCCATATAGATTCATGTCATAAACACTCGCCATATTCTCGGAGTGGTGAGCTTGCTGAACCTCCCGATTTTATGGTCGATGCCACGAACGAACAGTCACTAGACACCATAGTTCGATGGATGATATCACCTGACCCAGCCGATCGGCCCACTGCGGATCAAATTCTTCAGATATACGGCGTGCACTGGGTAGAACGGCGAAGGCGGGCTGGAGCCACCATCTATGAAGGGAACTGGGGTCCTGCAGATGAGGTTCTGGCGGAAGATGCGGAGATGATCGATGTTTAAATCAACGATCAACCCAACCAGATAATGGGGAATAAAAAAGGAAAAACGTAAAACAAAAATAATTATCCAACAACAAACCTCTCCCCACAATGAAAATCCAAAATTTGCTATGTTTAATTGACGGCTGGTTCTGAGCATACATTCTTATGTCTATGGGTATCTCGTCTTTTTCATCTTTTAGGAGTTGGAGTCGGAGAAAAAGGAGTGGAAAGAAATGGCTTTGTGGCTTGGAGTTTGGAGTTTGGGAGATATCAAGATTTCTTCTCCCTTTTTATTGTTTTAACTATGGATATATCAACTTTCTCTTGTTCTTTTCATGCGGAACAGTCTGTGTGGCTGCTCCCCGGGGTTATTTGAAATTTGTTTGAATTACTTTTCTCTGTTTTTATTTTTCTTCTGATTTTTAGGTGGGCTCGAACATTTTATTTGCGAGTTGGAAGGAAACAGAAGGAGGGAGGGTACAATTGATGCAGGAAGATTGGACTGGGATAGGCAGGGAAATAGCACGGAAAAAAAATGGAAGAAGGCAACAGAGGAAATGGATAAAATGATGGGCACCACTGGTGGAATTTGTCTGGATTTACTCCTTTTCCTTTCTCTTGCTTCGTGTCTGATTTGACCCCTATCTTTTCTTTTATTTTTTTGTTTTTGTCTTAAAGGAATGGGAAACGCAAAAGAAAAGAACAGAGAGCTTCATGCGGGAAATTCTCTGCTGTTTATCTGCATTCTGCTATCATGTACTGTTTTATGGTCATATTAGGAGTTTTTCCTTGTTTTTCCTCTTTTTTTTTTTTTTTTTTTCTTTTTTCGCTTCTACTGCCCTTTTGATTTAACATACCTCTTTGAACATGCGTATGGTGCCTTTTGATTCATTTTGACTTCATTTTTTCTCAACTCGTCTTCCTTTTTGTTTGCTCTGGAGAAGCGACCTAAGTTACTACTCACCTATATAATTAGAATAGTGAAGAGGGCTAGATAGGGATGATTTTCGGTATTCATATTTCTTGCTTTTGCAGTTGTTAAAAGGTTCTTTTTCTCTTCTCTTTTATTGTCGGTTTCTCACCTGCATATGCTTTTCTCTAAGCTTGGTATGCTTACTGCTATACTTTTATCCCTTTACTTATTTGTATTAATATGGATTTCAGGCACAAAATTATTTTAGATGAGTTTTGTTGTAGTTGCGAAGATAGAATTGTTTAATGTTGAAAGATAAGGTCTGTGGTAAATTTATTTATTTATTATTTTTATTTTATTTTATTTTATATATTCATATTATATTTTACCTTCGCAAAAACGTAATAACAGATGTTGAAACGGAAAAAAAAAAAAAACATCATTGTTGGAAAGTTGTTTCCGCGGCGAAAGGTTTATATCACGTGACATGCACTCGAAAATCATTGACCATGGCCGTATGGTAGCATCAAAAGGCGGACGAGAAGCTTGAACCACAAGCAAGGCAATGAAAAGACACGATTCTTGTCAAGGGTTTAAGACTACGATCAGCAGGAATATAGGTCTCCCTGTGTCACCCATATCTTACTCTTTTTCTTAGCCGAATCTGTATATTACAATACCTCCCTTCCGAACGATCCTCTAGTCGCTCATCTCATCCAAGTCAAGAACAGAATAGCCCGCGCGAATAATACTTTTTTAAAGGCCTTCTGTTAAATGAAAGGGTGCAGACATGCTATTGCTAAATTCATTCAAACCCAGCTAGCTTTTGTCCATTAACGAAATCCACTATTTATTTACCCATCCTAGCTCGCGTTCACTCCCAAAATCGCCCCGCTGGCGCCCTCTCATCTGCCTACGTAGTCGAGCTGTCTGATCAGTAGTTATATAGCTATCCGATAGCTGCTGAGCCCAAAAACTCGGAAACCACATCGTAATCAACTCCATGGATATCCGTACATATATTTCGGACTCCCTGCTGCGGCTAACAGGCGCATCAGACGCCACGGTCATTGACTACATCCTCGCCACCACCAGTTCTGCGAAATCAGCCGGCTCTTTGCGGGAAAAGTTGGCGCCGTTCCTGGAGGGCGATGAGAGTGATGTGCATTCGTTCTGTTCTGAACTATGGAGGCGGGCGGGTCCTGGCGCTGGTACAGGCGGGGCGGCTGATAGCGACAACAAAAGGTCCAGCAAGGACAAGGAGGGTAATTGCTTAAAAAAGAAATATAGACTGGTTGAGATGGAAGAAGAGTATGGATATGATAATGCCGGCCCCGGGTTGGCACTGCTACAGAGTACCGCGGGTGGGAAACCGAAGAAGCAAGCGAAGGAGAATGGGGAGGGTGGGACCCCGAGTCGTGACGATGATTCGAAGCGCAGGCCTCGTGGTGAGAGAGAAGAGCGGCGCAAACGGGAGCGGGAAGGCGACCGTGAACGAGAAAGTCGCCATCGATCGAAGAAGCAGCGGAGAAGGGATGACAGGAACTTTGACGATCGATGGGGTGATGAAGAAATACCAGAGGATGAGTTATATGATGAACAACCACAGGAAGAAGAACAGAGAGAAATCCGATCCCGTTCCCGTTCCGGCTCCGTTCGTTCCCGTTCTCCCTCTTCGGATCTAGATCCCGAAGCCAAGGCGGAGCGGGCTAGGCAACGCGATTTGAAGGAACGAGATGAGTTCGCGAAGCGACTTGCAAAAAAAGACGAGTCAAAATCGAAGAAGATCGTCGAAGATCGATCGTCTATGAAGGACTCAGAGGCAGCACGACGTCGTGCGCTGGCTGAAGATGCCGCAGCGAGGTCCGCAGCGATGCCTGACCTCCGCCTTCGGTCGCGACAGGAATACCTCAAAAAGCGTGAACAGGAGCGATTGGCTTTACTACGTAAACAAGTTGCGGAGGAAACTGCCGAACTATGTGAAAATCCTAATCTGACACGTCGGGAAAAGGAGGAGTTTGCGAAAAACAGAGAGATTTTGAGGCTTGCGGAGGAAAGGCAGCGGATTGACGATTATCGGGATGGATATGCAATGCCGGAAGATTATATTACGGAGAAGGGAAAGATTGATCGCAAGCGGAAGGAGGAAGCGCTTTACAAGCGATATGTTGATCGGGATGAGCATGGACAGGAGCGATTTGTTACAGAACATGAGGAGTGGGAGAATGAGCAGACGGCTAAAGCCAAGGCACAAATCTCCAAGCCGGAGTTTGTTGATGAGGGTGATTATGAGTATGTGTTTGATGATGCACAGAAGGTTAATTTTATTATGGATTCAAAGTTGGAAGGTGATCGGAAGCCATTGACGAAGGAACAGCAACTCTTTCAACAGAAGCTGAATGCGGCAGAGCAGAAAGCTGCCTCTATTGAGGAGACGAGGAAAAGCTTGCCTATCTACCGATTCAGGGAAGAGATTATACAAGCTGTGGCTGATCATCAGATTATCATCATTGTTGGGGAGACTGGGAGTGGGAAGACTACTCAAATTCCCCAGTATCTTCACGAAGCGGGATATACTAAGGGGGGAATGAAGATTGGTTGCACCCAGCCAAGAAGAGTTGCTGCGATGAGCGTTGCTGCTCGCGTGGCAGAGGAAATGGGAGTTAAGGTTGGGAATGAAGTTGGATATGCCATCCGGTTCGAAGATGCTACTAGTGACAAAACGGTGCTCAAGTATATGACTGATGGTATGCTGCTAAGAGAGCTTCTTACAGAACCCGACCTTGGAGCGTACTCTGTTCTCATGATCGACGAAGCCCACGAGCGAACAGTATCCACGGATATTGCCTGCGGCCTGTTGAAGGACATTGCCAAGGCAAGGCCTGACTTGAAATTACTCATTTCTTCAGCTACAATTGATGCGCAGAAGTTCCAAAAGTACTTTGACGACGCGCCAATTTTCAACATCCCAGGCCGCAGATATCCCGTTGACATACACTATACATTACAGCCAGAGGCAAACTATCTCGCCGCGGCAATCACCACCGTATTCCACATCCACATCAGTCAGGGTAAGGGTGATATCTTGGTATTCCTTACAGGTCAAGAAGAGATCGAAGCTGCAGAACAGAGCATACAAGAAACAGCTCGAAAGCTGGGGTCAAAAATACCTGAATTGATAATATGTCCCATCTACGCGAACTTGCCTTCGGAACTTCAAGCCAAGATATTTGAACCCACCCCTCCTGGAGCAAGGAAAGTGGTCCTCGCTACCAATATTGCAGAAACTAGTTTAACTATTGACGGAATTGTGTACGTGATCGACCCGGGCTTCGTGAAAGAAAACGTGTTCAATCCCCGTACTGGAATGGAGAGCCTTGTCGTTACCCCATGTTCTCGCGCATCTGCGGGGCAAAGAGCAGGCAGAGCAGGCCGCGTTGGCCCAGGCAAATGCTTCCGGCTATATACCAAATGGGCATACTACAACGAGCTGGAAGAAAATACTACGCCCGAAATCCAACGAACAAACCTCAACGGAGTTGTCTTGATGTTGAAATCCCTCGGGATCGACCAGCTTCTTGATTTTGATTTCATGGACCCACCGCCCGCAGAGACTCTCATCCGCGCTCTCGAACAGCTATACGCACTCGGGGCTTTAAATGACCATGGAGATTTAACAAAAGTGGGAAGGCAGATGGCCGAGTTCCCCACCGACCCCATGCTTGCCAAAGCCATCCTAGCTGCTGACAAATACGGGTGCGTGGAGGAGGTCCTTTCAATAATCGCCATGCTGGGCGAAGCAAGCTCTCTATTTTTCCGGCCGAAGGGCAAAAAGATCCACGCCGATAGTGCCCGCGCGCGGTTCACCATCAAGGACGGCGGCGATCACTTCTCGCTCCTGAATGTGTGGAACCAATGGGTTGATTCGGACTTCAGCTATGTCTGGGCGCGTGAGAATTTCCTTCAACAGCGAAGTTTAACGCGAGCCCGCGATGTGCGCGATCAGCTCGCGAAGCTCTGCGATCGGGTCGAGGTGACCATTACCTCGTCCGGCTCCAGCAACCTCGTCCCCATCCAAAAGGCGATCACTGCGGGATTCTTCCCCA